CGGGGCTGTGGCGGGGCTGTGGCAGGGCTGTGCCGGGGCTGTGGCGGGGCTGTGGCAGGGCTGTGGAGGGGCCGTGGCAGGGCTGTGACAGGGATGTGGCAGGGCTGTGGCAGGGCTGTGCCGGGGCTGTGGCAGGGCTGTGCCGGGGCTGTGGCAGGGCCGGGCCCTCCCGCTCCGGGAACGCTCCGAGCCCCATCCGCAGGGATGCTCCGAGTCGGGGGTCGGGGCGGGGATGGAGCAGGGCCCGGGGGGATGCGGTGCAAGGGGCAGAGTCCCATCGCCGCCCAGGCTGAACCCCGCTCGGGTTCAGCCCCGTGCCCGCCGCAGCGCTACCCCGGTACCTGCGCGCTGCCTCTGCCCGACTCCCCGCCGCTGCCCGCCGCCGCCGCCACCTCAGGCGTGGCGGGCGGTTCCGGTGGTGGTGGAGGCGGGGGAGGCCCGACGTCGGGACCCGCCATCCTGTCACGGCGAGGCCCGGAGCCACCTGCCGCCGCCGCCGTTGCCGCCGTTGCCGCCTTGTTCCGCCGGCGAGTCATGGCGAGCCCGCCGCAGCCAGGACAACAGCCAATATGGCGGCGCGGCCCGTCCGGCCCCTGCCCGCGGGAAGGAGGGAGGGAGGGAGGGGGAAACGCTCGGGGAGGTGAAGCCGCCGCCGCCATCTTGCGAGAGGGCAGCGCTGCGCCCCCTGGCGGCCAGGGGGAGCGGCGGCAGGGTCGCAGGTTCGAGTCCGGCCCCGCGCCCCGCGGCTCCCGCCGCCCTCAGGGCGCCGCTGCCGAGAGCGGGGCCGCACCGCGATCGCATCCCCCGCTGGGTCATCGGAGTGCAGCTCCACGGGTTCACGCTGAAAGAGAGCAGGATTAGGTTAGGTATTAGGAAAAAAGTCTTCCCTGCGAGGGTAGGGAGGCCCTGGCACAGGGTGCCCAGAGAAGCTGTGGCTGCCCCATGCCTGGAGGTTCCAGGCTGGACGGGGTCTGGAGCAACCTGGGTTGGTGGAAGGTGTCCCTGTGCATGGCAGTGGAATGGAACAATTTAAGGTCACTTCCAAACTATTCTGTGATTCTGTGATTCCTGGCCCTGCACAGGACAACCCCAAGAATCTCACCCTGTGACTGAGAGCATTGTCTGAATGTTCCTGGAGCTCCGTCAGCCTTGGGGCCATGATCACTTCCCTGGGGAGCTTGTTCAGTGCCTGACCACCCTCTGGGCAAAGAACCTTTTCCTGATATTCAACCTAAACTTCCCCTGACATAGCTCTAGCCATTCCCTCAGGTCCTGTTACTATCACAGAGCAGAGATTGGAGCTGCCCTCGGCCGCCCCTCCTGAGGAAGCTGCATCCCATAAGGAGGTCTCTCCTCAGGCTCCTCTTCTCCAGACTGAACAGACCAAGGGACTTCAGCAGCTTTTCATGTGACATCCCCTCTAGACTCTTTGCAGTCTCATTTGGACACTCTCTAATAGCTTTATTCTTTTTTATTATGGTGCCCAGATCTTCAGGGACCTGTGGGACAAGCAGGGCTCCAGTCTCACTGTGTGCTCAGGGATCCCCATCTGCGGGAACCAGGACACGGCTGAAAACAGAGCCGGGGTCTGTGGGGTACACAGGGAGCCCCAACACCGGGGCCAGTCCCACACCTGCACCCGTCCGGTGCAGGCTGGGCACTGCCATGACTCAGGGACTTTCTGAAGCCGAGGACGTGCCACTGCCGTGTTTGTTCAACCATCCTCCACGGATTCTTTACCCATGAATCCACCCTATTAGGCTTTGAGCCACCTGAATTATCGGTACCCACATCCTGTAGCCAGCAGTGCCAGCTCTGGAGCAAATACTTCTTTGACACAGCTGGCGTGGTTTGCTGTGGCCAACACCCCGCGTACCCCCCCCCCGGCACCTCTTCTTGGCCACTTAGTTCCTCTTTGTCCCACCGAGAGGCCACTTTACCCCCTTCCCACTGCATTACCCAGCCCCGCACCCCATGCCCTGCACGGTGAAGATGCCTGCGGGTGCTTCTCCCGGTATTTCCCATCACTCGGGAGTGCTCGGCGGGCTGTGGGAAGCGCTGGGGTGTCCCTGTCCCTGGAAGGTTGGGCAGAGAGAAAACGGGGGGAGGATAGCCGGGGATGCAATCGGGAATTTGAGACGGGAACCAAGACCGGGAAGGAAAGTCGGCGGTGAAACCCATCCCGCCCCACGGCAGACGCGCCCTCACCCTTCCCATCACAGAGAACCGGTCCGTCGAGGAGCAGACGGGTCGCCCCGGTGCCGGGACTGGGCGGACACCGCTCCGATCCGCCCCCGGGCGGTGCCCGGTGCCGGCCCGCCCCGTCGGCGAGCGGCGGGCGCGGGGAGCCGGGCGGCGGCAGAGCCGCGGGACGCGCCATGCTGCCCGCTGCCCTCCGCCGATGGCTCCGCCGACCCAAGGTGAGACCGGGGGTGCGCACCGGGGCCGCCCTCCCTGCGCCCGGGACCGGCGGAGCCCCCGGACCGCCCCCGTCGGGGCCATCCAGGAGCTCCGGAGATCGCGGGAGCAGTGAGGAGGGCGGCCGGGGTCCCTCGTGGGGGAGCGGGAGGAGGAAGCGGGGGGACTCTGGAGGACCTTTCCCGGTGTTTAGAGTCACCCACGGATCGGTGCCAAAGCTGCCCGGATGCGGCTGAGCTTGTTCATCCTGCTCTGCCCCCGGGGAAACTGAGGCACGGGTGGGTGGGGAGGGCGGCGCTCCCCGGGAGGAGCCAAAGCTTCCGTGGGAGGTCCCACGTACCTGCCCGAATAGGTGTTTGTGGATCCGTGGGGTCCGATCCCTCTGCGACTGTGGGAATGGGAGGTTTGGGATCTCTCTGAAGCAGCAGATGCAGATGCAGGGTGCCCCCACCATCACCCCCCTGCTCTTCCCGCAGCGCTCCGACCCACGCCTGCTCTCCCAGTTCTTCTTTGCCGACGAGAGGGTGACACGGGTGGTGGCCGAGATCAACGGGCTGGATGCCGAACTGGATCCGCAGCAGTACCTGGTGCTCCTCAACCAGCTCCACCTCAGCCAGGTATGGGGGCAGCCCGCACCCCGCTGTGACTCCGTCCCCCCGGCAAGCCGCGGGTGACACCCCTGCCGTCCCCAGGCTCACCTGCTGGCCGTCCTGGAGCGGATCATGGAGGAGTGCATCCCCACGCAGCGGCACAGCCGTGACTATCTGGTCAAGTTCCCCGAGGAGCTCTTGGTGGACAACTTGGGGAACCACATGCTGTTTGCTGCCGAGGTGAGCGTGGGGCGATGGACACCCCACTGTGAGCTGACCCTGGGATTAGGCATTGCCTTTGGTGCTGGCTGCTGACACAGTGCCTTTCCCGGCAGTGCCTCCTGGCTGGGACCTTCCTGGAGATGGAGGAGTCAGATGGGGCACAGCTGATCCCCCAGGCCAGGAATCTGCTCTGCAGCCTGGAGCTGGTCCGGACAGTGCTGCGGGAGCAAAGCCTGAGCCAACCCAACTCCTACCCAGAGCCTGTGCGGGCTGTGCTCATCCAATTTGACCGGCTATTTGCAGAGTTTGAGCTGAGGTAAGGGGCAGGGGAGGATGCTGGTGTCATGGTGGACTGTAGGGCCCTCACAGTCTCCCCATCTCTCCAGCTACGTGTCCTCGCTGGTGGCAGTGAAGTCTCCTGATGAGATCTTCAGGCAGCAGGAGATCATCGTGCTTTTCTGTGAGACAGTGGAGAGGTGAGTGAGGGGCACAGTGTATCAGGTGGGGGCTGCAGGGACTCCAGCCCCAAGGATGGGCAGCATCCCTAGGCTCAGATGCACTGTAAGGGTGTCTGTGTGCCCCCAGAGCCCTGCACCTGGGCTACCTGACCCAGGAGATGATTGATGGCTATGAACCACTGCTGATGTTCACCATCCCTCGCCTGGCCATTATCAGGTGGGTGCAGCCCCTGGAGAAGGGGGTGTGTTCCCTTCCCTGTATCAGCCCCTTCTCCTCATGGGGAGCTGGGGACCCAGGCAGCCCCTGACATGAGCTGGGCTCTGTCTCCTCACAGTGGTCTCCTCATCTACCCTGAGGGTCCCCTCAGCCTGGAGCGGAGCCCTGAGGAGATGTCCCGGGTCTTCAGCCCCTTCTACAGCCTCCTGAAGAAGATCAGGTGTGCAGTGAGGGGCCATGGGTGGGGCTGTGGGGCAGCAATGGGGCTGTGACATGGGGCTGATGCCAACCCCTCACCGCAGGGACCTGTTGTGGGTGCTGTCAGCAGAGGAGCTCTGCCTGCTGGAGAGGAGCCTGTGCACAGCCGAACAAGAGGATCCCTGCAGTCCAGATGGGGGGGCAGCTGTGCCCAGTGCAGATCCTCCTGCTCCCTTCAGTCTTCCGGAGGTCCCTAATGCCACTCAACCTCTCCCCACCTGCACGACACGACTGGGACCCCCCAGAGCAATGGATGGCCTGGGCACTGATCGGCAGCAGGGGTGTGCAGTGGGCAGGGAACAGGACCAAGATGGCAAATCTCATACCATCCCTGGTGTAATGGTCACCTCCCCCCTGCGCAGTCCCCAGCCCCTTGAGAGCGGCCCAGGGATGGGGGTCAATGCCAGCTCAGGTGCCTGCTGCTCGGAGCTGCGCTCCCGCTACAGCAGCACCAAGGACATGCTGCACACCCTCTTTGTCTGCATCTCAGGTGAGTGACCCCCAAGCCAACCTCCAGCACCTGATCTCCCCAGCACCCTGACCCCCCACCCTCCTGGTGCAGGGGTGGCTGATCAGCTCCAGACCAACTTTGCCAGTGACATGAGGAGCATCTTGAAAACAGTCTTCAAGATTGTGTGCTCGCAGGCGGAGCCCTCAGAGGAGCAGAGTTACAGCAGTGAGTAATCCCCAGGGACATGTGTGACTGCTCCTCTGCCCTGCCCGTCACCCATCCCTGGTGAGACAAGGCCACAGCCCTAGGCTTGGGAAAAACGTGGCCATCGTGCCCGCCCAGCTCCAGCTAGGCTGGACCAACCCTTGTCCCCGCAGAAGAGAAAGATGGTGACTCCTGTGTGACAGATACTCCTCGCGTGGCTGACTGCCCACTGTGCTCCAGCCCTACAGAGGCTGCCAGGCTCCGGAGGGCAGGTGAGCGGCTGCCCAGGTGCTGTGGCTCTGGGGCAGGGTGTGAGGCTGGGGCTGATCCTGCCCCATTCTGCCTTAGGGGGTCTGGCTGTGAGGGGAGCCAGCCTGAGGGGCTTTTACCGATGTCTTTTGCCCAGCTGGTGCCCGCCACCTGCCCGAGTGGGTGCCCGACAGCACATGCAGCCAGTGCTCTGCCTGCCGCTCGCCCTTCACCCTGCTGCGCCGCCGGCACCACTGCCGCTGCTGTGGGAAGGTAGGACGGGGTTGGGATGGGGCATGTGGGGTCCCCGAGGGACCCAGCTCTGCTCAGCCCCTCTCTGGCCTCTCGGCAGATCTTCTGTGCCCGCTGCTCACCGAACACTGCAGTGCTGCCTTACTACGGCCAGACCAAACCCGTACGTGTCTGCACCCACTGCTACACCACACACCTCCCGCCCACAGCCCGCTGTGCCCGGAGCCAGTGAGAGCCCCTCTGCCAGACCTGCATCACAGGACAGCTGGGTGCCCAGGGCCACTCGGGGCTGCGGGGCAGCACCTCGGCTCCTCAGAGCTTGGTGGGCATGGCAGCAGGACCCCCCCAACCTGGTTTTAGGCTTCCCCCCGGTGCGCAGGGGCAGGACCCCGCACACGGTGGCAGCCCATGCAAATGGTGGCGATGATGGTGGGCGCAGGACCGCCTGTCCCGGTGCACCATGGCTGCTGTGCTTTGGGTGAGCTGCCTGCTGCTGCCGTGCACCTGCCCCCCGGCTGGAAATGTGCTTCGTGGTGGTTTTTTACAGGTGAACTTTGCCTGCTGTTGGGCCCGGGGCAGAGTCTCCCCCCGGGGCCTGGCCTGAGAAGGCGCAAACAGCCCTCACATGACAGCGGGTGCCCCGGGGCCGCCCGTGCCGTGCCGTGCCCGGGGCCCGGCGCTCCCCTTCCCTCCCTGTCGCCTCCACCGGATGGATTTTAATAAAGCGATAAACCCGTCTGTGTGGGCCCTGTGGCGCTGGGCCGCGGCGACCCCCGGTGCGGGGACACGCGTGGGCTCGGTGGGGCGGGGGACGAGGGGCTGGTGGCGGCAGGGCGTGCGCGCTCCCTCCCGTCACGGGGCGCGCACGTGGGCGGGAGCGCGCCTTTCCCGGGGGCGTGGCACTTGGGGGCGTGACCGTTTTGGGGCGTGGCCAATCGAGGGCAAGGCCTGCCGCCGAGGGGGCGTGGTCTGCCGCCGAGGGGGCGTGGCCCGCGCCGTCCCCTCCCGCCGATTCAAATTTGAAGCACGCGCTTTCCCGCCTGAATTTGTTTGCCCGCCGAGGTGACGTCAGCGGCGCGGGGCGCCCCGCAGCCAATGAGCGCGCGGCTGGCGGCCCCCCCCGCGCTCCCGCCATGGAGGCCGCGGGCAGCAGGCTCCAGGTGCTGCTGCAGGCGGCCGAGTTCCTGGAGCACCGCCAGCACCGGCACCCGCCCGGCCCGCCCGAGGCCGAGCACGGATACGCCGCCATCTGCCCCGCGCCGGCGCGCCGGGCCGTGGGCAGCGTCAGGTAAGCGGTGGGTGGCTGGATGGATGGATGGAGGGACGGTGGCGGCGGTGCTGATCACCCGGGTCTCTTCCGCAGGTCGGTGCACAACGCGCTGGAGAAGCACAGGTATGGGTGGGTGGGGGGAGAGCGGCGGGGCAGGCGGTGGTAGAGCCCGTGGCTCTCCGCGGCTGACCCCCGTGTTGCTCCCCTCCCCTGCCCGGCCGCAGGAGAGCGCAGCTCCGGTGCTGCCTGGAGCGGCTGAAGCAGCAGGTGCCGGTGGGCGCGGGGCCGTCCCGTTCCACCACGCTGAGCCTCCTGCACCGTGCCCGGCTTCACATCCAGGTGAGGGGGGTGGTGGCACCGGCATGGCTCGGGAGGTCTCTGTGTGGCATCAGGGCTGCCCAGCTCATGGCTCACCGGGTCCCCACAGAGGCTGGAGGAGCAGGAACTGAGGGCACGAAGGGCCAAGGACCGGCTGCGGGACCGGCAGCGGAGCCTGCAGCGGCGGCTGGAATCACTGCTCTTGCCCGCTGATGGGGAACGGGCACGGGCTGACAGCCTGGACTCGTCCCGGCTCTCAGAGCCCTCCGAGGAAGGTAAGAAAGGGGAAAGAAAGAACGAGGGTGGGCAGGGAAGGAAAGCAGCCAAGGGCCTGACCCGGCCTTCCCCCATGCCCAGAGGATGCCGAGGTAGAGGTGGATGGTGTGGTGCTCAGCGGGGACCTGCTGCCCAGCTTTGGCACCGGGAGGGACCACAGCTACTCAAGCCCCCACAGCCCCGCATCCTGACGGTGCCTGCTGCCTTCCCTGCACTGCCTGCCTGCCTCCTTCCTGCTGGAAACCCAGCCCCGGCCAGCCTCATCACAGCTGCCAGGCTAAGGGGCCACAGATGGAGGCAAGAGTCCGGCTTTACCCCCCCACAGCTGGGTGGCACTGGCTGTGGCACTGGGTGCATGGGGCTGGGCTGTGGCACCTGCTGTGCACCTCAAGGCACTGGAAGAGGTGTTGGATGAAGGCCCAGCTGTCATTGAGGACATCCTCCTGCACCCACGGGCAGTCTGGGGGTGCCTGGTGTGGTGCTGCCCACTGAAGGTCATGACTACAGAAAGGCTCTCCTGCCCCTGGAGAGCCAGGAAGGGGAAATGAGTGCATTAAGCAACATGCCTTCATGCTCCTGCAGCCACCCCTCTTTTGTACAGACCCGACACTTTTATAGTAAAGGCACTTGGTAAAACCCTGGCCTGTGTCTTCCCTACAGAGTGCTGGACCCCCAGAGTGGAGAGCAGCGCTGGGCTCTGCTCTAGCCAGGCCAGCCTCAGCCAAATCAGAGGTGGGAGTAGATTCTTTAATGATAATTACATCTCAGAAAGGGTCAAGCAGCAGCTGATTGTCAGACTTATACAGTTTCTTTAAAAATATAAAATCTAAGGAGTCTCCTATCTGTCCTGGTGCAGCTGGCCCCTCACACGTACTGCTTCTTCTTGGTGGCTGCCTTGCTCGCCAGGTCCTTGGCTTTCTCTGTAGCAGCCAGAGCTGTTTCCTTGGCTTTCTCGGTCGCTTCCTTGGCTGTCTCCACCAGTGTTTTGGATGGAGCTTCTCCTACAACATGGAAGCCATTAACCCCACAGGAGTGCCGGCTAGACCGGCCCTGCCACCGAGGCACTTCCCCACGCAGGGAGGAAGATGAGCCTGGTGTTCCTGACCCCAGCACGTCAGGGCACGTCGCAAAGGGGAACCACAGGCACGTGATGTTGCCATGTTCCACCCCTCCTGCCTGCACTCCACCCTTGCCCGACCCTGCAATCACTGCTGGCCTGATCCACTCGGGAAGAGCAGGCAGTGCCAAGACAGAGGGCAAAGGCAAGGCGTGAGGATTTCACGGTCAGATCAGTTCAAGCAACAACCTGCCCACGGACTGGAGTGTTCCCAGAGTGACCTCTAACTCCAAGAGCCCCATCCCGCTCAGCCTGCCCTTGGTGCCCACCTTGCATTTTTGCTAGCACATATTCAAATCCCTTAGTGCTCTTGGTCACGTTGCTTTTGAACCTGGCCAGACCAAATTCCTGCAAGAGAAAAGTCAGTGAAGGTGCGAGCCCTGTCACACACAGCCCCTGGGGCTTTGTCCCAGCTTGAAAAGTCACACTGACTTTCACAGTGATGGTTCTGGGTGCCTCAAGAGCTCATGAGGATGGGGGGGAACAACGGGAAAGGGTGTAGAAACCAGCACAAGGAAAGGATAGAGCGGAGGGGAGCAGCAGCTTTACTGCTTGAGCTCACCTGGATGGCCCGCGAGACGCCAAACAGGCTGGAAGATACCCAGGCTTCCCGCTTGACCTGGGTCCAGTTGCTGTTCTCGGGGTTCACCCGGTACTCGCAGCGCTCCTCCACCACCTGCGCGAGGCACAGCCCGGCCGTGGGCACTGCTGTGTCCCCTCCGCCCCGCACACCCGCCCAGCGGCAGCGCCTACCATCAGACGAGCGTGGTTGATGTTCCAGGTGAACGTGGTCATGGTTCGGTTCTTGGGGTCCACGATAGAGTCCTCCAGGATGTAGACGGAGTGGGCGACATTGGCTGGGAAGAATCGCTCTGCCCAGCGCGGCATCCGGTTGGTCTTGGTCAGGAGCCGCCGAGAGAGCAGCTTGTGGTCCGGCGTCACCTCCCGGTGCACGATGTCTTCGGTCAGGACATGTTTGCTGAAACGGGGAAGGAAACATCACGCCCTGCTCCTCGCCGACTCTCCCCCGGGGCTGGGAATCGCCAGGAACTGAAGGATTAAGGCGGGCAGGGAGGAACCAAGCTGGGCGCTTGGGCTGCGGGACACCCATCCCCGCCGGCCGGAGCCCGCGGGACCCCCGGGGACAGGGCTGGGCTGGGCACGGGGGGCGGCAGCAACCCCCGGTGGGGCCGAGCGGCGGGAGGCGGGCGCGGAGGGCCCCGGCGCACCTGTAGGGGTTGGGGTAGCGCTGCCAGAAGGCGGCGAACACCTGGTCCCAGGGCCCCTTGAGGACGCCCAGGCTGGCGCAGTATTTCCCCATGGGGCCGCCGCTCAGGCCCGCGCCTGCTGGGCGGCCGCCATGCGGCCCCGGCCCGCCCCGCCGCGCCGCGCACTTCCGGCACTCCCGGCCCGGTTCCGGCCCCGCCCCGCCCGGTTCCGGCCCCGCCCCGCCCGGTGCGGCCCCGCCCCGCGGCGGCGGCGGCGGCGCGAGGATGAGCGGGAGGCGGGTGGACGCCAAGGTGGTGCTGCTGGGGCAGGAGGGGGTGGGCAAGAGCAGCCTCGTGGAGCGCTGCGCCCACGGCCGCTTCCGCGCCGGGCCCTACCAGAACGTGAGTCGCACACCGGCACCTCCCGGCCCCGGGATGGCGGCCCCCGCCTCCCCGGGATGAGCCCCTCGCGTGGCACCCCCGCACGCTGCCCGTGGGCGCCCCGTTCCCGCGGCGTGTGCCCGGGTGCTGCCACCCGCGTCTCCCCTCGCGTTGTTCCCCCCGTGTCCGGGCTGGGACCCGCCGCATCCCCCCCCGCGCCCGCGGGTCGGTCCCCTCGTGTCCTCACCCTCTCTCCGCACGCCCCGGGATCAATTCCCCCGTGTCCCTGCGCCGGTTTCCACCGTGTGTCCCAGGCCAGATGCCCCCGCATCCCCGGGCCGGATCCCACCTCTCCTCTTGCTTCGCTTCCAGACGATCGGAGCCGCTTTCGTGGCCAAGGTGATGACCGTGGGGGACCAGACGGTGACGCTGGGCATCTGGGTAAGTGCAGGGGCGAGGGCTGTGCCAGCGCCCCGCTGACATCCCCGGCACCCCCTAACCCTGAGCCCCTCCGACCCCTGCCGCCCCCAGGACACGGCGGGCTCGGAGCGCTATGAGGCCATGAGCCGCATCTACTACCGGGGAGCCCGGGCTGCCGTCGTCTGCTACGGTAAGGGCACGGAGAACGGGAAGGGGAAGGAGCTGGAGGCTGCAAAGGGCCCGGGCTGGGGTGGTGGTGGCACCGGCGGGTCGGGCGCTGAGGAGCAGTGTCAGCAGACCCTGATTCCTCTCCCCAGATCTCACCGACAGCGGCAGCTTCCAGCGAGCCAAGTTCTGGGTGAACGAGCTGCAGAACTGTGAGGAGGTACGGGGGGGCCGGGGGCTGTGAAGCCTCCCCACAGGACGAGGGGTGCTGGTGGTGGGGACGTGGGCACACCCCTCCCAACCCTTTTCCTGCCGCAGGGCTGCCGGATTTACCTGTGTGGCACCAAGAGCGACCTGCTGGAGGAGGACAGGAGGAAGAGAGGGGTTGACTTCCACGATGTGCAGGACTACGCTGATGGTAGGGCCAGTGCTGGCCCTTCCCGGGCGCATGAACATTGAGTGGGTGGGGAGTGAGGGAGGATTGAGCTGTTGCGAGCTCTGCCCTTGCCGTGGGCCCACAGCAGATCTGATGGCTGATCCCTGTATGGTGAGACACCGGCTCTGCCAGGGACCTCCCTGGGCACAGCATGTCCTGACATGGGCAGGCACGTGGCCAGCTGGGCCAAGGGGCTGGGAGCCCTGCCCTGGGTCCCTGCCAGCCTGCTGGCAGCAGCTGTGCCCGAGGGGTGACTCTGGGGGCAGACGAGCCCATGGAGCCATATCTGCTGCACATGCAGCAGGTGCCAACCTGGGCCCTCATTTCAGAGATCAAAGCAGACCTCTTTGAGACCTCCAGTAAAACGGGCCAGAGCGTGGGTGAGTAGCCCCTTGCTGGGGCCGTGTTCTAGCTGAGCAGGGCTGGGGGCTCTGCCTGGCAGGGGGCACCCACAGCTGCCATGCCTCCTCTCCCCCCAGATGAGCTGTTCCAAAAGGTTGCCGAGGACTATGTCAACTTCTCCGCCTTCCAGGTGATGACAGGTGAGTAGGCAGGACCTGTCCCTTCCCAGACACCCTACCCTGTACTTCTGGGTGCAGAGCATGAGCTCTGGGGGTCTGAAAAGGCTTCCCTGGGGGGCTGCTGTGGCTCTGTGCCAGGGTTTGTCTCACGGAGTTTGAGTTCCATCACAGCATCCTCATGGCCTGCTCAGGCCAGGCTCAGCACATCCACCCAGCTGGGTTATGGTGGCATTTGGCAGCTGGGAGCCAGGAGCCTTGCTGGGCTACAGGACTGGCTCAGCTCTGCACCAGCCCTGCCCAGGCACGCTCAGCCTGGCTGTGCCTCCTGCCCTGGGCTGTGTGAGCTGTGCCATGACCCTGAACCTCGCCGCTTCTCCACGGGACACCAAACCCTCCCCACACCTGGCACCAGCAGCTTTGGTGGTGTGGACGTGCCAGCAGCCTGCTGCTCCTGCTCTCTTCCAGAGGACAAGGGTGTCAACCTGGGCCAGAGGAACAGTCCCTACTTCTACAGCTGCTGCCACCACTGAGCTCCTGTGCCAAAAGGGAATTGCTGCTGCCGGAGGGGCAGCTGGCGCGCACCGGACTCCTCTGGTTTTTTACCTGCTGTGTTTTAGCTGTTGGGGCCTGTCTGCAGCACAGCCTACGGACTGCTCAGCTGGCACAGAGCGGCACAGGGCTGCCGTGCAGTGCCAGGAATCACGGACTGTCACTCTGGGGACCCCCTCCCTGCCACCTGTGGCGTTTGTGGGAGCTGTGGTGGCCCAGCGGTGGCCAGTAACTTATTCTCTCAGAGATGCTCGGTTCTTTGCAGATTTATTTAAGCGTCTTCTCTCGAGGTGTACAATGTAAATAAAACGCGTTGTGGTCTGAGCCGTACCCCTGCGCGTGAGGCTGTCAGGGCTCTCCCCTCCCTGCCTCCCCCCACTCAGCAAGACAAACCACAAGAGGACATCGAGAGTAAAGTTAAACTTTACTTTACAGTAATTTTTCTTCTATATACAAAGAATTACAGTACATGTTCTGGGAGCACCTGGGCAGGGCAACCCTCTTTTCATGATAAGTTTCACATACACAGCCAACAGTCTAAGGGGAGCAAAATTAAAGTAATCAATGGTCCAAGACTCTCCCCTCTCCCTCTTCTAAAAATAATATACATGCTGGAAATATGTAGTTTACTCTCACCTGCTCTGACATTCCTTCTTACAACTGACAGACGACTCCTGTCCAGGGCTGAGCACCCCTTTGTCCCCCCTGCAGTGCTCCAGTGCTGGCCTCTGCCTTGGCTGGGATCCTTGACTCCTGATGTGTTTCCCTCTGCCTGAGCCTGCAGAACAGGACCCTGAGGGGGACCCCCATTCACTGTCACCCCATGGGCAGTAGACCTCGGAGGGGAAGGGAGGCAGCGTGGGGCTGCTCACACCAAGGTTCTTCCCATGAGCAAACCTCTCTCATGGCTCCAGCAGAACTTTCGCTGCTGCCGTGAGTGGCCCCCCATGTCCCTGGGCAGGGAGGAAGGTGCAGTGGGCAGCCACCCTCCCCAGGGCCCTTGGCTAGCTGCAGCCAGGACCCAGCAAGGAGCACACAGTGCTGGAGGGTGGCAGGGACATCAAGAGTGAGGCATGGCGCCCAGCATGGTCTGTCTTGGAGGCGAGCAGGCTGCTGGGGCAGCGAGCTCAGCACCACGGATCTGCAGGGCTGGGAGTGCCACTGCAGCAAGGCTTCCATGGCCCCTCGCAGGGAGAGCCACTCCCTGCCTGCTCCCACTGCTGCCAGCTCATCTCACCTCCCACCCACGCCGGCCGGGGCCACCCTCAGCTCCAGCCATGCTCCACCTTGAGCCTCCCGGTGTGCTTGCTGCTTTTCCTTTTAACAAGTTCCCAGTGTCTACAAAAAATACACAAAACCCAGTTCCTTGAAGTCAACAACTCGGAAACATCAGAAAAAGAAATAAAAACTGAAACCAGCTCAGTACCAAACGGACACGAAGAACATGCAGTAGCGGATGCCTGCTTGCTTCACGTGGCTCCACGGGCTCCCCAGGGGGCTCAGTGGCACACTGGTTTAGTCTCAAAGCCACCATAAACTGAAGGAACCGAGTAGCTCCTTGTCCTGTTTCAGTCACAGGTGCTGAAATCCAGCCCCAGCTCCACGGGGAGGGGATCAGCTGGCCAAGAAGCCCCAGCCCGAGGGCCAGGAGGTGAGTCCAGCCCTACTGTGCTAAGCTGCCAACGGTTTACAATAGCACCACAATAGCCCAAGGGCTTTGCCAAGGGCAAACATGATTAAAACTTTACCTTGAAATAGGCCATAGCAACACCCATTTCTCAGATTTCCCTAGGAGGTAGATTCAGTGCTGTAGGGACTGTCCATCACTGCTGCTCCTCCAGCCCGAGCTCACACAATCTGTCCTGTTCCCCCGGCACCAAACTTTGCTTACATCACTTTTGTAGGACCTGGAGCAGGAATCTTGCATCCTCCCATCTCCTGCAACCCGACAGCTGAGACTGCTGCTGAAGCCAGGCACGTGGCAGAGCAGTCCCCAAGCTCCAGTGTCCCATGTCCCAGGCCCAGGGAGCCCCAAGCACCCATCAGCCCAGCTGTGCTGCTGCAGGAGGAACAGCCTTGGCTGCAAATGCTGCCACCAGCGTTATCACTATCACAGGAGGGTGGGTAATTTAGCACGGGCAAAGCCTGGGAGAACAAACACAGCATCCCCCTGTACTTTCAGAGTAGCTGCACAATTTGCCACTTTGCTTTAACACTCACTGGCTAGCAAAGGCCAAAGCCTCATCAGTAATTTAGGGCAAAGCACATTACAAGCAGGTTACAATTATGCTTATTCCAAACATCGAGCAAAATCAGAAGTTAAGGCTGAAATTAAAAATAAACAGAGGGTGTTGAAGGTCTGAAGTTTCTCAAACTGTGCCTGCACTGTCACAACACTGGATGTGGTGTCCAGATAGGATGGGCACACCCAGAGCAGCTCAGGGCTAACACACTGCCAAGAGCATCAAGGTTAGAGCTGCTTTTTCTTTCTCTTCGGTTTTCTTTTTCTGTGAAACTAAGCTGAAGCTTTTCTAGCAAATGCACCGTCTCACTTTAGTTCCTTAATGTCCTTTACATTCAATCGCCTCTCTTATCTCCCAAACTTTAACACCAGCCACACCTTCAGAGCCTCTGCCTGCAGGGGTTTAACCCTGAATTAACACGTGCTCCCACAGTACCACCCAGATGCTTTGTGTATTGACGTGATTCTGGTTCCTCCGGAGCTTTTTTTGTTAAATAGGAAAAGTTTTAATTGGAGAACAACAATAAAGCAAGCTACCATGAGCTAATTTGCATTTAGAGACGTGCATAGGTGATTATTCCTTACAGTGATAACCTCCTGCTAGATTCACCAGAGCCCTGGCTGACAGTGGGCACTGGGAAAGATGGGACAAGCTCCCCTCCTGCCCACAAATCCCACATGTCCTGTGGTGGCTCTTCCTCTGCAACCCTCATCCCGATGGGGCACAAGGCCCTGACCACGCTGCTACCCCTCATCAGAGCTCCTCTGTCACCAAAGGGCACCTGGGACCCTCCTGCCCACAGTGGAAATCCAACACTAAAGTGGGTCCTCCAGTGGGGTGGAGGTCACGGGCCCACTGCTGACCCCAGCCCACTGCTCTGAGCAGGGGCAGCACTTATCCTGGCAGCAGGGATGTTGACCAGCAAAATGTTCACACAGGAGCAGAGGCTGCATCCCCTTCAGAAATGGGAAGAGAGAGCCACTCCTACCAGGAATGAGTCTGGAAAATTCCTGTGAGCCGTTGTGGGACACCAGGGAAGGGACAGAGGTAATAACACCCTTGATTCTGCTTCTACAGTGCTCCACAGCAGTGAATCAACACAGGAGTCACCTCTCACCCATCTTGGGTGCAATTAGGGCTGACCCAGGACTAAGTGACGAGGTGACTGGATCCCTCCAACACAGCAAAAGAGCATCACAACCTTGGCATGGAGCTGTTGCACAGGTCTGAGCCCAGCTCAAGGCTGCAGCAGTGTCTCTCCTGCAAAGTCTGCCAGGGGTATGGGTTACCTTGCCTCGACCCTTTATTTTTGAAATCCCCTGTGATTCAAACTGGCTGAATTCTGAAGGCAGTAACAAATGGCAGCAAACTTACCCAACTGCTTCAACACAGACATGTCCCTCTCCTCCTCCAAGGCAGTGCTGCCAGCTGCCACCAGTGAGTCACCTTGAGTACAGAAGATGCCCACATTTCCTCCACAGGGGTTTTGCTGCCTGAAGCTGTTCCCCAGCTCATGCTCCCTAATGAGGGCAGGCTGGACAAAGGCAGGGCTGCTGGAACTTCTCTCTACAGCTGGTCAGACCTTGTCTACGTGACCCAGGAAAGCCCAGAGACTCCCAAACATACCACTGCTTCCTCTGAAAAGCCCTTCTGATCTGACAGATCATCGCCCAAGGCTCCAGCAAGGGTGAAGAGGGAAGAGCAGCTTCCTGTCTTCCTCCTTCAGTGATGTTCCTCAACACCAGTTTTGCCAAGCTATGCTGAACTCAAGTTTCCAACAGTAGCTGCAAGGCAAGAAGCCAAAAACCCAGATCCTTGTGGAAAAGGGAGACAAGAAGAGAGACAGGGTACAGTAGCTGCAACAAAGTAGGCTGTGGAAAATGCCATGCAAAGGTTTAATCCATAGTCACTGTTCCAAACAAGCTTTTGGGTAAGCACCTGCTGGCATGAAAGGCGGCTGCTGCCGTGAGCCTCACCCTGCTACGTGAGCCCACGATCTATAGAAGTGATTTTTTTCAAACCTGCTCTTGTGAGAATTCAATGAGAACTTCTCCATTTTACAGATTTAAAAAAGCCTGCACCAAAAATATTCACAGTTTATTTTTTCATGAAACAAGTAACTAGTTAACACGTGACAATGCAAAGCGGAGGTGGACAGAGCAGTGCAGAGACCTCTCTGGTTACAGTGGGAGCTAGCTGGGTGCTGGCACTGAGGAAACCCTACTTACACAATCTACATGACTAAGTCCAGCTCATGGAAGGCTTATAAATGTAAATTCAAGATTTATTTTCCTTCTCACACATGATAAATACTTAATATACTGAACGCCATAATTTTTTTTTCATTTTTGTTTAAAAACCTTAATGAATGCCCTTAAAGTAATCTTCTCTCTCAATGGATCTGAGTTGTCCTGATTCCCTTTGTGGAGGAGTCACGCAGAAATGCTTGCACTTCCCTAGTTTCAGCAGCAAGCAGGAACTGACCTGCCAGTCTTCCCGGAAAAAAACAACATTAAACAAGTAAGTTTCCATAAGCCATAAAGCTTTTCCAAGTTGTGAGCTATTCTACAAAGCATCTGAAATGATTCGGACTAGAGAAGAGACAGCACTGGTAATGTCCCCTTGTGCCCAGCACACCCGGCCTTTACAGCAGGACGTTGTCTCAGGGTGCACACATCAGGAAAGGAGAACGGATCAGGATTTGTCTTGGTACAAGGTGTCTGCCTCCCTTCATAGAAAACTGCAAAGCTCATGACTGTCTGCTCTGGGAGCAGCAGGCACTTGCAAGCCAGGTGGGAACAAGGACCTGCTCCCATGCTGGAGGAAGGAGGTCAGCATGGGGCTGGACTCTCCCTTCCTTGGGAGGGGCCTGTGGATCTGCCTGGAAGGAGAAGAAGAAGAAGGATACGCACACTGGAGCTGCGCAAGGGTCTGGCTGCGGCACGGAGGTCCGAGGCTGCGGCCCCAGATTGGTGGAGCTCAGGTAATTACAGAGGTAATGTGTTGTGAGAGTGGGAAAAAGCTGGTCAGCAGCGTTTCCTCGGCAGGATACCAACCCTATCCAGGCCAGGCAGTGCCACCAAAGGAGGTCTGTCCTCCTCCTGCCTGCGAGGGTGCCGGTGGTCACAAGATGCTTCAGGTCCCTGGGACTCTACTGCCTGCCCCACGAGCACCACAGCCAAGCCAACTTCTGCCTCAACGCTTGAGTGAACGGCTTTCAGAAGGCCTAGTCTGCACACCAGCCCGATGACCACCAGGTACTAAACATCGCCTTCACTGTAAAAGGGAGAAGAGAAAAAAAGAAAGCCAGCCAGCTGCTGGAGCCCACCGTGTTCCAGTGTGAGAACTACAATTCAGTTGGATGGACACACACACGCGCACACACACATGCACACCGACACAGTCCAGTTAATTCAAGTCTCCTTTGGTTGTAGAAGAGTTAAGCCAGAAGCTACACAAGGGGAAGGTGTTGAGATGGGTCCCGATCCAGCTAGGGCACCCTTGTCTCTGTGCTGTGCAGTGAGCGGGACAGGCTTGGCTTGCTGCTGGCAACACCAGGCGTGACAGGAACGCGTTCCGAACACATCTGAGGCAAAGGGAGAAAGGACTGCTCAGTCTGCTGGCTCACGCTGACAACAGAGGTCTAGAAGAGACTGGATGGAAATTTGAAAGGGAGCACTGTCCCTCTGGCAGGGCAGTGCTCAGCACCTCCAGGAACCCACTCTGCTCTGCTATTGCTGCTTTATGGGTCACTACGTTGTCAAGTGCAGGAAAACACTCCACGTGTCCTGTGCTAAAGGATTAAGACACAAGAATGAAAAAACTCCCAGATGACTTCTTCCAAGATCTCTCTTTTCCCTGACTTCCTCCACATTTCCCGCTCCTTGGGCCTGGCCAGCTCTGTAAAAAAGGAGCCTGAATGGATACTGCCTATTGTTGGAGAAAACTGCACTGAGTGAGGGCAGGAGCTCCTCTCCCATCTCACTGGAGATGATCCCTGTCCTTAAGCAAACCACACACACAGCATGTCCCAGTAAACACATGGACAAACCTCATAAAGCAACGACCTGCAGGGACAGAGACCTGGCCAGGTGACATAAAATCCTTTCCCTGCTTCTGGAGTCTGGCAAGGACACACACCTGACTGCTCACTGCGTGATCCCTGAAACATCTCCAGTGCCAGGGCAGCCTGACTGATCCATTTTCTTTAAATGCAGTAACAAGAGCAAGGCCCCTGGCTGTGCCTAGGAGCCCACCTACAAATCAAACCTGGAGCTTGGACACGCTGGATCAGTAATGTGACTATTTCAATGGAATTTGAGATTTTTACCCAGAGCGGACTCTTTATTTCAGCTTTACCATTTGTAAAAGGAAGATGAGAAGGTCACAGATGCTCTCTTCCTTTGGCTGGGCCAGACTCAGATTTAAGAGAATGTCCTTGCTCGTGTCACAAGAGAATATGGATGGGATGTGCATGGGTTAGGGGCTGGGCTCAGGGAAGTGAATAAAAAAAAACAAAACAAAAATTCCCCCTCCCTAAACATTAAACGACTGAAACCTGCCTCCCATATTCACCAACCTCACTTTGGCTCTGAGTCAGCCAACTCACGACAGACAGAATCCTGGTTACGGGCTAGCGCTGTGTTTTGCTCAGGCAAAGGGTCCTGCCCCCGAGGAGTCTGTACATTTCCATTCAGCCAAGAAATCTGATCAATTGTCTGAATGTTTGTGACAATCCACGGCATCTGCTCCGGGGGCACCGGCGCTTCCCTGGCTGGCCGAGGGGTCTGCTCGAATGCACACAATCTCTCTGATGTCCACGGGGTCTGCTCTGAGGGGGCTGAGGCCACTTCCCAGCTGGGCTGAAGGGTTGGCTCTGGTAGTTTCTCTGCTGTCCGGGAAGGCTGCTCCGCAGGCGTCAGGGTTTTTGTGGTGGACCAGTGGCTTTGCTCATGCGTCTGTAGTTTCTCTGTAGGCCAAGGTACTTGTCCAACCTGTGTCACCACCTTCCCAGCAGACCAAGAGATTTGCTCCCCAGCTAACATGGTCCTCTCTTTCTGCTGGGGACTCAGCTCCATGGCTGGGGCTCCTCTCTCCTTCAGCTGAGCGTTCTGGTCGACAGGACGCAGTGCCTTCTCTGACAGCAACAGCCTCGGAGCTGATGCAGATAGAGGCTTGTCCGAGGCTTGAGGCCGAGGAGCCACAGCAGGAGCCAGCTTATCTGATGCCTGAGGCCACGGGGCTGTAGGAGCAAGAGGCCTCTCCAAGAGCTGAGGCCGAGACACCCCAGAGCTGAGAGCCTTTTCCAAAGGAAGAACTCGCAGGGCCCCAGAGTCAGCAGCCTTCTCTGGAGGAAGGGGTCGCAGCACCCCGGGGGAGAGAGACTTCTGTGTGAGCGGGATCCGAAGGGCCCCAGAGCTGAGACCCTTCTCTGTGGGCAGGGCATGTGGTGAGTGGGAGCCAGGGGCCTTCTCAGTGGGCAGGATCTGAGGCAAACCCGAATCAGCAGCCTTCTCTGGAGGCACAGGACAGGGTGACCCAGAGCTGGGAGACTTCTCTGTGTCTGGAACCCACACTACCCCAGAGAAGGAAGCCTTTTCTAGAGGCAAGGATTGTGGTACAGCTGATCCAGGAGCCTTCTCTGAGGGCAGGATCCGTGAGACTGGGGAGTCTGGGACTTTGTCAACGGAAACAGACCACAGCACCTCAGGACTGGAAGCCACCTCCAATGCTGGGACCTCTGGCACCACAGAGCTGGAAGCCTCTTCCACAGCCTGTGGCTGCGGACTCTGGGCAGAGGAATCGTCCAGCGGCTGGAGCTGATGGGCCTCAGGAGGCTCATCCTCCGGCTGGGACTGCAGCATCCCCACCGTGGTGAGGAGTCTGTCAGACAGGGGAGGATGCAGGCATTTCACGGGGAACTCATCCAGCAGCTCGGGCTGCTGGTCCCTGCTGTCAATGAGGGACTTGTCCGATAACTCCAAAACCTCGGGGGCGTCAGGAGCCTCATCTGACAGCTGGAGCTGCAGGTCACCAGCACTAACAAGTGACGCATCCAACGGGGACTGCGGCGATCCCGGAGGAGATTTGCTCGGCAGCTGCGGCTGCGAGGCGTCACTGGAGGACTCGTCCAGCGGCCAGAGCACCGCGTTGCTGGGAGGTTTGTCGGGCTGCTGAGGCCGCAGCGCTACAATGATGGGCTGCTTCTCTGACTGCAGCCTCAGCGACAGGGCAGCCTGGGGCTTGTCTGATGGCTGCAGGCGGAGAGACAGGGTGGTGGGAGGTTTGTCCGAAGGCTGAAGCCGGAGCGAGAGGGTGGTGGAGGGTTTGTTGGATGGCTTCAGCCTCAGTGACAAGGTGGCGGGGGGTTTATTTGACGGTGGCAGTCTCAGAGCCAGGGTGGCAGGTGGTTTGTCTGGTGAAGGTAGCCTGAGGGCCAGGGTGGTGGGGGGCTTGTTTGATGGCTGCAACCTCAGGGCAAGGGTGGTGGGGGGCTTGTCTGAAGAAGGCAGCCTCAGCGCTAGGGTAGCAGGGGGCTTTTCTGGTGACTGCAGTCTGAGGGCCACAGACTGAGGTAGGCTGTCCTGGGGCTGAACACTCAGGTCTGTGTCTGCCTCTGTGTCTGCAGGCAACTGCTCTGGTGGCTGGGTGTCCTCGCCGTTAGTCAGGTCTTCTATGGGAGGTGCATACTCACGGATTTCTCCTGGCTCTAAAGGGTGAGGCCCACAGGGATCATGCTCTGTGCAGCATAATCGTCCATCCAGCTTGGAGATGAAGAGCATTCCTTCCCGGTGCTGCTTGCAGAAGGACCTGGGGCACATCTCGCAGAACGAAGCTGCTTCCTTACCACACACGTCACACTGATGCCACGGGCACTCCCACTTTCCTGCAGCATGGACATGGGAGAAAAGACACACCTTAGGAGTAGGACAAGGGCAAGAGACAAAGGCCTGCTGTAAAGGGAGTTCAGGGGAAAGTGAGAACACTCTGGTAAATACCCATATACAATTCTACATGGCCTCTTCAGTTTCTGGCTTAGCTCAACAGGTAATTAATACAAATCTGCATTTTCAGAAGCAGCAAGGGCAATGATAATCATGACAAACACAAGCCACATCAGCTCACACCAAAAGCCCACCTGGCTCCTGCACAGCACTAACCAACAGAGGTGTCTAGAGATGAGCAGACATCCACTGTTTTCACATCTCTGTAGCTCTAATTTTCATAGAAAATGGCAGAGTTTATCTGTACACAACACCCAAAGGACTTTTAAAGCAAACATGTCAGATTCATCTTTTAATCCTGGGTCAAAAACCTCCCTTCCCGTTTTTTAGAAAGAAGAAGTGAGAGAGCAGTGATCACAAGGGGTAAGTTTCTATTGTCTCTGAACTCAAAGGCACATCCTTAAGCTCTAGCCATGTATGGCCACGATAAAACAAAACTGCTCTCCCAGCAGTTCCATCTTCACAGCCAAGCTATTGACCATCAGTACCAATACCACCAGCAGGCAAAACACAACATTACACTTCAGAGCCCGCTGCTTTTCTCACTTGTAATTGACCTCACTGGCTCAGCCTCCTGCTCCCTCAGCCAAGGCTGTGTCTGTCTATACCAAACACTTCCAGTTCAGGAACACAACCAGACACATGCTGAGTTCCTGTCCTCTCACCACAGGATGAGCAAAGATGTTTTTCCAAATACACCTCCTGCCTCTGTGCTTTCCCAGCACCCACATCCCCCATCTCTCCTGCTCCCTGCCTTGCTGTGGGGAGCAGCTCCTCGCAGAGCAGCCCTGACACAGAGCTCTGAGCCAGAGGGCAATCACAGACACCAGCCAGGACAGAGCACTTCCCAGCCTGCCTGAACCAAACCCATAGACCTGTGGCTACAGCTCCTTTCCAGGGAGGCTGGTTCCTGCAGCACAGACTGAGCAGCTGTGGCCATTGCTCCCTGGGCTTGTGCAACAGCAGCTCTCCACTCCCCTCTCTCATGCTGCTTTCCCCCTGGGATTGAAGGCAACATGTAGTAAGTTTTTCCCCTCCTTTGAAGCTAGTCCAAGGCTTCTGTTCCAGTCTCAAAATATGCATGCTGCTTTTATGTGTCTTTTCCAATTTTTCAGCATTTTTTTCTAACTGAGGATGTTTAACACTTCCCATGGTCTCCCCTGCTCCTGGCTCATGGTGCTGCAGCACAGGCTGTCACTGCTCCCCCTGCACCAGCAGCATCCCAGAGACCCACACAACACTGCAAAGACCCTGGGACCGTTCTTATAAAGGTCATTTGTACAGATGGAAAATTTTTTAAAAAGTCAAAACCTGCTAATTTGTTGCAGGAAGGATAAATCCTATCAAACTACTCTAATGGTCTTTGACAGGATAAAAAGGTCTAATGAATAAGCACCCTCTCCAGGGACAGCCTGGAGCTCTTGCAAGTAAGATCACACAATTAGCAAACATGCAAACAAGCAGGAAATTCCAATTACTTGACAGCAATGCCCATGGCAGAGGAAACATTTGAAGTAGAAAGTGCTGAACCTTTCATGTCCCGAGTGATACTCTGAGGAGCAGGCCATGAAAGTCACTGCCTATGTATAAAAAGAGTAAAATTGCTCTAACTGACTGAAAATCATTCTCAAAAAACAGTTATTAATGGTTTTGTGGCAAGCTGAGGAGCCATTTCACATTACATCCTTCAGGAGTGTATTTTAATCTGTACAATTATTTAAATTTCTGAAAGCAGAACAGTAAATACTCTTACAGATACAGGTAGATCACATTGAACCTGTAAGGGAATGCAAAAATCAATTTGGACAGGCTCAGAATTTAAACTGGACAAATGCTCTTGCACCAACAAGGTGTAATTAAAGACAAGTGCAAAACAGGATTGCAAAAGGAAGAAATAAATATAAGAAAATTATCAAGATGAAAACTCAAGAAGGATAAAGCAAACCATCAACATCACATAAGTTTTTTTTTGCAAAACAACTAAAACATAATTTCCAAAGGCATTTTATGTAAAAAACAGTTTTTGTCTTCTGTCAGAACAAAGCAAGGTCTCAGCTGCAATGCTGTTAAAATACTTGTTTCCAGTTTTAAAAAAATGTGTAGGCAAATGGGACACAGTCCAGAGTAGATCACGAATAAAAACTTCAGGCTATGTTTGTACAAGCCAGAAAAGGACTGAGACAACAACCTTCCACTATATAAAAATATATATCAGAGAGCTGGCAATCCTTTGTGTTTTTAAGTCAGGCTGTTAGGAGAGACTTTGCAAATGGAAAGCAGGTGAACAGGCTGGAGGCTGGACTGTACTTTTTGAGTATATTTTTATTTCAAATTTTTGCCCTCATTTCACTACAAACTAGAATATACTTTGGTATAGTTCTCTTATGTATGAGAAAGATGGCTGTTCAGACATTTAAGAGATTCTTTTCTAACTCCTATTTTCCAGCAGTGCTTCTACTCACAACTGTCTTCAACTCTGGGAAAACAGCCAGTGTGATGACCAATACCTCAGCTATTGTTAGGATTGTGCTCTGCCAGAACCCAGGAATGGGGTCAGTTCACAAGCACCAGGCAAGGACCTGCTCCCCCTTCAGCAACTAGTTCACCTTTTGCAGTCACAGTGGGGTGCAAACCAGGGCTGGGTTGGTTGGACAACAAGATCTGTTCAAGTGAGAAAGATTTCTCTAAATGTTAATAGAATGCAAGGTCACGAGCAGCACCCACGACACCCAGAGCCAAAACTGTGAGCCAAGCAGAGCCCAGCTGTGCAGAGCACTGACCTGCAGGTCTCTTGGTCAGGTTGAGGCAGTCAGCATGGTACACCTTGGGGCAGCCTGACTTCTTACAAGAGACCAGCTGCCCTCCGTCCCCGCAGCTGAAGCACTCGTCCTCCCGCTCCTTCATCACCTCCGCCTGCGACCTGCGCTTCATCTGCGGCCGCCTCTTGAGCTTCTTGGACTTCTCCTCGCTGAGGCTGGGCTGGCTCTGGGGGTGAAAAGATGTTGGTTAATGCAAAGTTCTGCCCCATTCACCTGCTCCCTTCCTGCTGCAAACCCTGCTGACACAAATCCCACTGCCAGCTATACCTGAGACCTGCGCAGCATCTCTGGTGCTACTTGGTGTTTGGCAACCAAGTTACGACAGGAACTAGCTCCCAGTTATTTTGAAAGAGCCTGGAAGTCATGCAGCAAAGCTTGACTGGACATGGGATTTCTATAACCAGCAACAGCAGAATGAGGAGCTGGGGCTGCCTGGTGTCACTGAGCTCGTGCCACCAGTCCCAGACTCTTCAGGTCAAAGTAGTCAGGTCTCCTGGCACACATGACTCATAAGGAGTCTACCCAGAGCCTTCCTGCACTTTTTCACATTCATCACTTCCCTCTCCATTTCCAGTCTGAATTTATCTGTCATCAGTTTAGACCTTTGTTCTTGTGTCAATGCTGCTCTTCTGCACCAGAATTGCAAAATCTTTACGGAAAGGACCTCCAAGATCAAGTTCAACATTTGAAACTTTTCTATCTCCCTGAAGAAATCTCTGGGACACACTCTCCTGCTTGCAAACTGAAACTTTCACAGTCTGCACACTCAGTCTTCTCAGTGGCTTTTCTCTTCCCTCATTGAGTATATTTATCCCACACAAAAATTACAGAATTACATGTGCTACCTCAGATAACACATCACAGACAGTGTACAGAGACATCAACACTTAGCCAAAAGAACAGGGAATTCCCCCAAAGCACTACCCCCATTTGCTTCTTTCACAGCTGGGTCACACCACAGCTCAGTCCTGTGGCAGCTAAGCAGCAGAGTGGCTCCTTCTCTACCACGACTGCCCAGCTATGACCCTCTCATGGTGGATTTGTTTCTGCTGTTAACCTCTCCAGGTGTGAATATCCAATTGCCATTCCCCCTATATGCAGTTATTCATTTGCAACTGCCCCATCCTCTCACTCTCTCTCATGCCAATGACAACCAAATTCTGCATATCAGTACAGTTAAATTATCAGTGTAGTGAAGTAACAACAACTGGACCCAGGACAGGCAATTAAATGGTTCAAGTGCTCTCTTCTCTGGCCTAAGGCTTCCTCCAAGCCTGCTCTTCCAACTCCCCCTCCAAGCCAGGCTGAGCCTCCCATTGTGTGCAACACTCAACTCCACAAAGATGATGCTTCTTGCCCTCAGCCCTGACCTTATCAAAGCACCATCAGTTTAGTTTATCTAAGGAGACATGAGCTAAATTCTGTGCTATTTTCTACATCTCCTTGTGTTCAAATGTGTGTTCTCCATGCAGGATATATCTGTGTTCTGAGACGATGCCTATGAAGCAATTTTTACATCCCTTATTCTGCAAAAATATTGTGCATAATATTTTCATCACCAAAACATTTAAAAACTTTGGTCTCCAGACCTACAATTTCAGAACTTTGCAGTTGGCTATTCAGCTTTCCTGTCACCAAGGAGTTACATCTCTTGATTGTTTCCTTCCCCTTCATATGTGGATGTTTCTGCTTTCATACCATCATTCCCCTTGACAATGGGGACAAGCTGAGCCTTTCTTATCACTGAAAATGCAGGCACTGAAATTCCTCTACCTAAACTATGCCACCCATTTTTAAGTCTAGCTCCTTGGCCACCTAATTACAAAGAGAACAAGAAAATCCCTTCACAGCTAATTTGAATGTCTAAGAGAGGTCTAACAGCTGGACTAAGCTGATTCCAACTTGCTCCCTGCAGTACCATAGACTCCCAAACATTTTTCCACACTCTCTGTTAGAAGGCACTTTTAAGAGTGAACTTGAGTATAATCAGTTTTATCTTGCTGTATCTTCAGAAAGCTTAAAAATGCATCTATTGTGAGAAGAATTTTTTTAAAAAACACCCCAAGGTACTGTTTTCTCGGTGCTGTTCCTTAGCCCATCTCATCAAGATGGAATGAGTCGCCTCAGATATCACAATGGAACATGAATGCCAACTAAAGGGCACCTTTCTCTAATTTCCATCGTGCAGCCTGCAATTTCAAGGCAAAAATGACAGTCAAACCATGTATAACACAGGGGCAGCACAAAATCAATTGAACTTTAAATTGCAACCCGAAAAAGAACTAAATACATCAGATGTGCCACTCCCCTCATCTCTCAGCTTCTGAAGACATCCATTTTTTAGTTTTGTAAGTTAATTTTTCTCAAGAACTCATCTCTGGAGAATTCATAAAACCTTCCCTATATATTGATGGGGCTCAACAACTGTGCCACTGGAGGTTTTTAACCCTCAACTGTGGGCACAGCATGATCCACATGCCAGAACAGACTGATTTGGTGAAGCACTTGTAACAAACCAACAGCTGAGACATAGATTTAGCGGGTGACAGCTGGGAACTTGGCCAACTGCTCCTGTTATTTCCTTTTCCCAGTGAGAACCAGCTCACACAAGGAGGTAATTGAAATCAATTCCTGTTACTGCAACATTATAGTTACAAATCGAAGCCCTCAAAAAGTCATTGAGTTCTAAAAGCTGGTGGTTTTCCAACTACAGATATGGTAAATGTCTTCACGTCTATCTGATGTGTAAAAATCACTCATTTCATTAAACCCAGACTAAAACCAAGAACTTTACTTCAGAATACATAGTAAGGTCACAGCATTCTGGTTCTAAGCAATTTCAGTGTGAAGGAATGTGAGTTTGCTGGCCTTCCATGTATGCTCACAATTTACTCAGCCTTTACTTTGGGAAATGGGCTGTTGTGTTTTCTTGGTTATCTAATAAAGTCTTTCCCATGCCTGTCCTTTGCTCCTCTGGTGCTGTGGAAAATGTAATGATAAGAAGTAGAAAATTAAAAAAAAAATACTAAAGAACCACCCTCATTCTCTTATTCTTTCAGTGTAAAATAAAGCTTCCTGTCATTATTTATAGCAACTCTGATAATTGAAGACTAAGACTTGCTCTCTCAGAATGAAAACTCGAATATTTAACTCATTTCAAACACTTGTTCCCATGGCCACACTTAAATGATCTCTTCAACACGAAACCTCTGCAACCAATGATTGATACACATCTATGCAAAGAGGCAATCTGGAAGAACAAAAGCTTAAAGCATGCATCGTACCTTTGGCCTTACTCCTAGGAAGCCACTGCAGTTTGGTGCACCACATTTACAAACAGTCTTTCCATTTCCCAAACACTCCAGATTGTAGTTGAAAGTTAGCTCAGTCCCTGGCACAAGAGCAGATCAAAACCCAGCAAGTTGTTAATGAATTACAGAGTAGATAAAATGTTTTACTGCTAAAGTAAAAGCACTTTTTAAATACAATGACACAAGTCACTTCCACCACTATGTAAGACACCAAACTATTAATCTCCCTCAAAGATCTGTGTAGATTGAAAATTTAGTGCAACCCCTCACCCCTACCACATTTTACAGCTAAAAAGGGCATTTATTCTGTAACAGGGCCCTGTACCAACCTCCACTGATACCATGGCTGTGTGTTTCATTACGTTAGTGCTGCTGTTAAGCCTAAATAATACCCCTATGAAAATAAAAATTAAATCCCCTTCCATAGAGCTACACACCCTCCCTTTTCCTTACAAAACCCCCGAGGTTACTGCAGGCATTAGCAGCGTGTTCCTTACCAGCTTTGATATTTACAAGTGCGAAGAGCCCGACCCGAGTGTCACCATTCACACACCATTTCTGAGTCTCACAGTTGGGCTGGCAGCAATGGTTCATGAACCGAGCATAGTTGCCCTTTGGCCCAGCATCAATGATTCGATCCTGGAATTGTAAAAAAAAAAACAAAACCAAAAAACCACATTTCAATCAGCTGTCATCAACTGCAATCAACCAACTCTGATGCCTCTGGCTACTGCTGGCAGATCACATGGCAATACAGCCCCCTGCACATCATCCTTCTCCTCAAAGACATGGGGTTCCTAAACAGCCAGGACAGTGCCACTGTTGCTTTCTGGAAAAAAAGGTCTCCCTGTGGCATCAGTACTGGATAATCACCACCCCAGCACACTTCCAAGGCAGTGCTTCTGGTTCCAGGCCCCAATTTCTGCTTAAAAGCAAAATAGCAGTTCCTATTTCTTGCATGTCAGTGTATAGAAGGAAAAGAGGAAGAGTGTGTGAGCTGAGGTACATTGGTGCACAGCTTGTTGTGGGGCTGGAGAGGAGAGGGAAGCTGCAACTGAGATTTGCTTTTCTAGTAATAAGGGAGATATTAACACTTGGGTCTGCCCCATCAGCCATACAAGGAAAACAAGATATGGTCAGCGTGAACTTGCAGCAGGATGAGGGGAAAGAAAGCAGTCACTGTTATCCTGACCACACTCTACAGCTTCCTCCCCATGTCTGCTTTCATGTAACCCATCTTTCCATGGCTGAGTGACAAAGTGTGGAAAGCAGCTGACAAAACCACTTAAAAACCTCTGAAAATCAAGAGTTCACAGCAACAACCTGGCCTGCAGGAGCCACTGGGAACCCTGTGGGTGTAACTAAATCCATCAGTCTACTGAGAACAGCAAGACCCAAGATCTGAACTGAGATGAAGGTCTTGCTATGCCTATAACTTACCTGCCTCTTCTGGCACACACCAACCCCATTCTGGGCTCTCCAAAGTTCAGGTGCTAGGAAGGATCCCAATGTTCCCAAATTCAACCTCTTATGCAGAAGTAGGATCTACAGTCCTCAGACAACTGTCCTCACTTCTGAACAAACTCAGGTAATGCCTGTTCAGACTTTCCTCCTAACCCTGAAATCCATCCTGAAGCTCCTCTACGACACATTAACTCATTTAGTAATTTCAGAGGAAATGAAGACCAGCTCATCAGCAATGCTTAGCATCTTTTTGCTACATGGACTACCACGACTTCCTTCCCATCTTTTTACTTCTGTTCAGAATGCTGGCAAGAGATTCATTGCACATACCTTATCCAGTGTCAACATGTAGAAATTGGTAATGTCGTGCTCCTGAGCATAGCGGATTCGGGCTCGGCACTCCTCTTCATCAATTAGCTCCCCAACATATTCATTAACAAATTCACCCTGCCAGACACAAAACAACAAGTTTATAAGACAAATTATCTGCAGGATGGAGGGATGTCTCCCTTTGTGCTAGAACTTAGCTCCTGTTTCCTTCCTAAAAATCTCTCCCTGTGCTCTACAGCCAGTTTGGCCCTTAACCTTCACCAAGAGCCCTGAACCATACATCCGTTTCACATGCTCAAATAACTCAAAATAAATTAAATAAAGAACTGTGACCATCAGGTTACTCTTTGTGTCAAAGAAAGAATAAGCATCCAGGGACAGCACAGAAGCTAACCACAAGAGCAGCACTTTGCTGCAAAGCTCAAAGCACTGCCCTAATTGCATTCCAGCTGAAAACAATATCCCTCTGGGGACCAACCACATGGAGCAGCAGGATGCACCTGGAGCACCTGCTCCTGCAGTGAGTGCAGGAGTTCTCCTGTGGTGAAGTACTGCAGAGACCTTACTCCAGCCTTTAAAGAGAACCCTAGCTCTGCTCCTGTGGGGCTAATAGGTCCCCCCACTAAATAACTGAGTGTTTCTGTTTCCAGACTGTCTGCTGAAAGTGAAACAAGCACATGGAATGGTAGAAATATCCTTTAACTTATGGCACAGCAGACAACAAAGTTTTCAACAGGACAAAATAACATTTTGCCTCTTCTATCAAGGCCTCCCTCTTATCAGGTCATCACTATTCCCTTTTCAGACATTCTTCTCTTACTATGCTAATAATCCTCTATTTCACTTTATTCTTTATTAGCTTTGGGGCTCTTTTGGATTTAACATTCCTCCTTCTTCATTCAGCACAGATGTGAGTCCAAATAATTGCTATTCCTTGCATTTAAAAAACACATACAAGTGTTTTAGGTGGAGATAATCAGTTTCAGCAGTAATAACAGCCATGCCCAAGACACTGCCCTTTTTTAGGATCCAAGCCCTGGTTTCTGTTTCTGACACAAGATTCTCATGCTGGATAAGCCTGGCTAGTCAAAAATGGTGGGGAGGAATAATCACTATTCCCCATCTGGAAATCCTGAGCACCATTCCATTGTTCTTACAAGCAGACTGACCAAGCAATCACCTTTCTTATCCTGTGGGACATCAACATGCAAATCATTCTCTCTGTCAGCTGAGTCATAACACTGTCTTCAAGACTAGAATGACTAAATTAATCAATTTTGTGTCTAAATAGCATTCCCACAGCAAGAAGTCTTTTTCAAACTCAGTTTTCAAACCAATAGCGATCAAGAGAGAAGCGACAAGAGAACACGACACAGAAAGAGCCCAGGTACCTTCCTGATGTCCGTTTTGGCCTGCAAGCCCCAGCCTCGTGCCAGCGTGCGGAAGATCTGCACCTCGGGGTACTGGCGCTTGGAGAAGCACTGGTTCTGGCAGCGCTCGCCAGCAGGGCACACCAAGGGGTGGCACTCGTAGAGCAACATGCGGTTGATGCACTCCGAGTCCAGGCCGCAGGGGTTCTCGTCCGTGGGTTTGCAGTTGCAGCGCGGGATCTCGGACAGGTCTGCAGTGAAGATCTGCACCTTCCCCACCGGCCGGTTCACCTTCAATGCACACCAGGGACATGAGCTCTTGGGAGCTACAGGTTACCCCGACAGGCACTTCTGTGCTCCACCCTCGCCTACGAGATGACGGGCTGTAGTGACTTAGTGACAGCGAGGGGCAGAAGGACACAAGTACAGGCGCAGCTGTACTTCTGGGAATGCTATTTTGAGAGGCAGAAGGTTAGAGGAAAGAGTTCAGGAGGATGCAGCTTCCCCATTAGCATCACCTGGTGCAGTGTGTATTCTGTGACCCTGGAAGGGCGAGAGGCTGCCAAGTGTCCCCCTCCCATCATTACTGAGCCCACATCCAGCTCAGGTGGCCAGCCCAGTGCTCTTGTTGGGGACACAGCATCACTGTGATCAGCACCAAACCATTTTCTGCATCAAACTGCACCTTTTCCAGTCTGAGTGTCAGGTGCTTTTCCTCAGCTTTCCCTTACTGCCCTGCTTTTCGAATGTTACCTTCAAGCTGGTTTGTGCTCTCAGCTGTCACACCTGTGACATAGGGCCTACCATGCAGTTACCTCCCTACCCAACTGTCCTGCAGATGTAAATGGAAGCCAAACCAGACAAGGCTGGGGTTGAAAGGCCCAAAGAGGAGCTCAGAGTTAAGCCAAGGAGCTCTCTAAAAACCACTCCAGAGGGAAGCAGAGTGCAGCACCAGGTGGAGAAGCGACTGGCGTGTCTGTGGCATGAGCTGGGTCCTTGGGGTTTGGTTAAAGGCAGCAAACGCTGAAAAGCAGGCAACAGAAAGTCAGGACTTTGGAGAGAGACACACTAGAAAAGCTCCTTGCTGCTCTTTCCCTGAGTGAACCATTGTCTCGCTTTCCTCTCCCAGAACATGAAAGGAAGGGATTTTAGCAAAACTATTCCACCCCCATATAAGTTACCTAGTCCCACCCACAGAGTTTCCACATTGACAGCCTGTCTGAGGCTGGCCCAGTCCTGATCCCCCTTTGTTTAAACACAAACCCTGCAGAAACTCCTCGTTAATCACTTCAACACAGTCTCCCCCACCTTCCTCCTAGAACTGTGCCCCACCTCCAACGTTCCTTGTCACTCAGGTTCTCCTCTGCAGCTTCCTGTCTCTTACCCAGACTCATCAAGAGTGGCAAGACTTACAGGAATGGGTCAATCCACCACTGGTACTGCTTTAGCACTGCCACTCCACACCACATATGCCCAGCACACCTGCCCTATCCTATGAGGCACTGCTGGGAAAAAAACAAAACAGGGCAATGCTTGGACTCATCAGAAGCCTGATGTGATGAAGGATCCCAAGTATATTCTGCAGCAGCCTTTCGTGTGGGTGTTCCTTGGAATGGACTTGAGATGTGGATCTCCTTAGAAGGAGTGGACACAAACAGCTTCAGCCATTCCATCCTGAAGCCTTCTCCAGTTCACCATCTGCTCCTGCAAGCTACTTTGCTTTCAGAGAGACAAACAGCTTGCACCCAGACCTCAGAAGAGCTGCCATGACTAATGACCACAACCGTCATTATTTATGTAAAAGGGTATTTTCAAAGGCTCTAAACTGCATCCAGAGTTCCTTCATGTTGCGGCCAGAGAAGCCTAAAAATAGCTATAATGAGAAACTACTTCCTCCACTGAAGCTGCAAGGCCCATACTGCTGCCACAGCATTCAGTTGTGCTCTTTACACCACACAGTAACTCATGAAGGATATACCTGCCTGCCTAAAAATCCTAGCTAGATACAAAAAGTGCCAGAAATCAGTTAAGCTTTCATAATTTGCCACATAAAAAGGGAAGGAGCAGACAGAAGCAGTAAAAAAAGAACACAGTCCCTGAGTCAATGGGTTTCTCGTCAGTTGGGATCCACTTCTCAGACACAAGTACATGCTTGGCCCCAGCTCTCCTCTCAAGTCACCTCCATCCTGTATCTAGTGCTGCTCCAATTCTAACTCAATATTTATAATATTTAACAACCCTTAACATGAATAGTTCCCCAAAACTGAGGAAAAAGGCTGATATTGCAGCCCGTAGCCCTGCTTCAGTACTTCTGTTCAGTCACCAACTGATAGAGATATAAAACAATAGCAGATTATAGAAGATACTGTGGGTTACCACCCTCCACACAGCCTTGCTGCACTGCACCCTGACCACCTGGTTTGCCCACCTTGCCATCAGCAGCACAGAGCATTTGACCACACTGAGCATTACCAGCCCTTTCCCACGAGTTTTCAAGGTAGGCACTTGCTTTGGACCACACAACTGACATGGACAGCAAAGACATGACCAGATCTGTTCCAGCAAACCAGAGCACCCCTGTTATTGCATCCCAGCTTGCTGAGGATGAAAAGACGATCAAAGGAACCTTCAATATCAGCCAGACACCCAAACATCAGAAATGTTTCTGTATACCTGTAAATCACCTGCACCGACAGCTCAAGACTTCTCTTCTGCACCTGCCCCCCAGCACCTCCCCTCACCTTGATGTGTTTGTAGGGAGGAGGTTTCTTGTCATTCTTTTTGTCTTCCTGAAGTTGTCTCAGTTCTTTCTGTGCTTTCAACTCTTCAAATCTCACAGCAGCTTCCTGAAGAGCTAAGTGAGAAAACAGGCTCTGTTATGAGGAACTCCCTCTGCTCACAGAGAGCTGGGCAGCCACTGTCCACTCAGTGTTCACAAGGCTCAACAGAGGAGGGTGAAGAAAAGGCCAATGCAGCAGGGAAGTGCAGAAGTTACAGTCAAGAGTCTGCTCATGGGTGATTAAGCATCCCATCTGTTGGTTATCTTTGCCTGCTCTCTTGGGCAGAGATGCCATGCAGCTACATCCACGATTCTCAAGTGCACATTTATATCAAGATAATGACTGCATTTCACAGAAAGAAGCTGACACAGCAGCAGCTCACTTAAATTTTGAGATGTTCTGTCAGAGCTGGACAAAGATTTGAAATCTGCACACCCTTCTCCCTCTCTGGGAGTCAAACAAACACTCTGAGCATGCTGGATGATACATAAGCAGCAGCTCATTCTACAAATTTAATTTCACTTCAGTTATAAGAAGACATTTTTCTCTGCTACATGAATGACACTTTTCCAAAGAGGAAAGAAGAGGGTAAGACCATGTACTTCCCTGAAGACAAGTTACCTTTTTTGTATATGCCATCCACGCCCTTCCCCATCTTGTCTTTGCTGCTGACATCGCCTTCCATGTAAGGGAACACACGAGCCTGGTGGGTCCACAGGTAGTCCTTGGAGCCAAAGAACAGCACAGGGAACTCACCAATGTCATGTTTCATTTTCTGGATGTTGACAGGAATTGTCCTAGGATGGCAAATCTCAGCTGGCCACCACCTACAACACAGGAAAGGGCAGATGAAACCTCTGGCTTCCCTACTTTCAGCCACCTCAAAAGTATGCTACTGCATGGAGACATGGGAAAAAGTGTGTGAGGGCTTACCAGCAAGGCTGGTGGGGAGAAAAGAGGCTACTGAAGGAGGAAAGCTCATATTTTACCAGCAATGTGCATGCAAAAAATGCAGAGGTCTGCTACAATGAACCCTGCAGAGAGGAGCAGCTCCTCACTTCCATCACCATGAGCACTGCATGAAGAAGGGATGGGGACAAGTCTGGTCTATCTTCACCTACCTGTAGCGCCCAACTTTCACCCAGACTACTTCTTTGTAGTGTGGCTTTTTGCCTGCCTTGCAATCATTACAATACCAGCTTCCCTCTGGCATCTCGATGTTTAGACACTCACGGTGAAATGCAGCCGGGCACGACTCACAGCATAAAAGGCTGCCCCCTGCAAAGAGAGAGGAGAAATTTATCAGTCACTGTGCAGAAGCAAAGAGAAAGAGGAAGAATTTATCAGTCACTGCAGAAGCCCCTCACTCCCCATTTCCAGACAGACCTGGAAAAAGTGAATTGATGGTCTCCTGCAAACCCTTTTACAAAAGCTGGGCCCTACTCGTGGTAAAAAAAGAACCCCTCTAAACTCCAGAAAAAGTCATAGCCTGAAGCTGGACTTAAATGTGGAATGACAGAGAGGCAGTCTGCTCTCTGCAGTTGCTACTGGGACATTCTGGATGGGAAAAGCTTCTGCCCTTTGTAATGAATTCTTGCCAGGGCCTTCTGTGGCAGGGGACCCAGCACTGAGCACCTCACCTTCCGAGCAGACAAAGCACCAGCTGACGTTGACGTGCTCGTGGTTGCGGCAGCCGCGGCGCGCGGTGAAGTGGTTGGGGCAGATGATGCTGTTGGAGGCCAGCACCACGGAGCCGGCGGCCAGGCAGAAGTCGTTGGAGTGATACGCAACCGGACACCGCACGCAGCGCATCAGGCGACCTGGCACCAAACAGCCCAACACAGTCAGCCTCTGCAGCACCACCACTCCCTCCTACTAAAACTAGGCTCTACTTATTCCTAAGCTCAAAATGAGCTTTGGAGAAGGAAGCTGACTTTTAATTTTTATAGATCACCCATGATATACTCACTGGATTTCTATTAAGTTATTTAACGTAACTAAATATATATAAAATTATAAAATCTATAATACCTATACCATAGATAAAATGACATTATTTAGAAGTGAAAAATATCCTGCATGCTGTGCAGAAACAGTTCAAGAGTTCACAGACTGGGACTGCTTCCTATCATGCACAAATAATTACTAAATCAGCTCCGACAGTAATTACAGATGGGGTGTTCCAAGTGCTTAGCTGCACATAATGAAATCAATCCATGTAGCTTCTGAAAACACAGGCACTTGCCCCTTGTTTATCAGATTTTACCCTGAAATTCCAGAACTTCCAGGCAATTCAGACTTCCCTACAGGCCTAGTTTATGTGAGGTTTTTAAGAGCTCCTTTTCAGTTCCTCACAGCAGACTATAAACAGGAAGAAGAGGTGGGAGAAAAGGGGTAAATGTGACCACTAAGAAGCAGCAGCCAGTCAAGAAATGTTCAGTGGGGAAGAGGCCAGCTGTGGGCTGCAGGCTTTTGGCCTTGGTGCTGTTTTCTACACCAAATATCGATAAATGGGGGCAAAAAAGCCAACTTTAACACAGACTCTGAGGATAAAAATAGAGCTGGTCTTATTGTCTCATCTTAAGATACCAAGGATTAAAGAAAAGCAGGCTTAGAAGCAAACATACACAGCAATCACAAAAGTTTTAAGTTTGATCATGTGAGATAAAGGTCAAGGTATTGCTGCAAACAGCTCAAACAAATGTTTGCCTGGGAAGCTTAGCCCAAGGGTGTCTCCACTACAAGGTGAGAGTTTACATAGAAAAAAATGGATTAGTAGAACAATATCATAGTTTGCCCTGTGCAGCTCTTGATGCCACTGTGTTGACAGCCCGTGCTGCTAAGCAAGGCGCCATCTGCAGCACTGGCACAGTGAGGAGCAGGTGGGAGAAACACAAGCGTGTCTGTACAGCTCCAGAGATTTACTCAAAAACCCAGAGGCCTGAGGCAAGGCTGGGCGTGCAGGAATCTGAGCCTCTGGACAGCCTGAGAACATTCCAGCTGCCATGGCCGACCATGGGGAGTGCTGCTGAGCCTCATGCTCTGACACCACCCCTTCCACTCCCCTGGGAGCAGCTACTCCTCAGCAAACACAGCCAGTGCTGTAGCAAGGACACAAAGGCAACAGTGCAAAGAACTGGTGAACCAGGTGAATGTGAAACACAAGGTGACTGCACCCCCCAGACCACCCTGGAGGACTCGGGTACCTTTGGAGGCAGAGATGTTTGCTGGGTTAGCAGCATGGCAGGTCATGCAGATGTGCAGGGAGCAGCGGAAGCCCTTGTTCTGCATGACTGTGGGTGGGTATTTCTGGATGCAGGCTTCGTGGTAGTACTTCCCACAGAGGGGCAGCAAGCACCGCTTCACATCCTCCCCGCAGCTCTTGCACACAAAGCAGGTGTGGACCCCTGGAGAAAGAGCAAGGCACTGGTCACACACGAGGGCTAAATGAGGACCTGATGCTGTCACCAGGCTGCCTAATAGCACAGCACAACTTCCCAGCCTGCTGCACCCATCCCACAGCACAGGTCTCTGCACCAGGTTGGTTTGGCCTGAAGCTGCAGTAGAACTCCACATCAAAAGAAATTTTATTATAGCTGGGACTTCAGGCCAGGAAAAAAAAAAATTAAAAAAATTAAATAACCCTACTTTGAGATTTCCTCCTTTCCAGCCTGAAAAAGACTTCTCCTCCTCACCTGACCCCTTTTCATAGTCTCAGGTACAAATTTATCTCTTTCCTAGCAGATCATGGACTTTTACTTCTTTGTACACCAAATCTGAATTAACAGTAAGGGTGGTAAATATTTGAAGCCATTATTAATGGCTTCAAATCAACAAAGAGTAGGTTTAGATTAAATATTAGGAAAAAATTCTTCCATGTGAGGGTGGTGAGGCCCTAGTATAGGTTGCTCAGAGAAGTTGTGGATGCCTCATATCTGGAAGTGTTCAAGCCCTGGTTGGACAGGGCTTGGAGTGGTCTAGTGGAAGGTGCTCCTGCCTGTGGCAGGGGGGTGGAATCTGATGATCTTTAAGGTCCCTTCCAACCCAAATCACCCTGTGATTCTAATCAGAAAGTCATTATCAGACATCAAATCAATAATCTGAGGACTGAGAGCTACTCAGCAGTCCTACAGCAGGCACATCACTCCAGTCAAGGAAGCACCAGGTAAGCCCACAGTCCTGCACTCACAGAAGCTGCCCTACCTGTGGAACACTCATTGCAGATGAATTTGCCCTTTGGCATCTCGGAGAGCCCAAGGCACTGCAGGTGGAAAGCACCACAGCACTGCGCCTCACACAGCAGCAACTCCCCTGGCTTCTCACAGATCTGTGGGGAAGAAACACAGTAGCAGCTTGAGCAATTTTCTTCCCAGCAGCATCCCACGCAGCAGCAACTGGTCAGAACTGCCAGCAGAGACCTCCCCAAGGAAAAATGTTACATTTTCCTTGTGTCAGTTAATTCTCTTAGTTTGTGTACAGCCACTGTCATTTACCATCCAACTCCCTGATACATTTTAGCCAATGTAGGGTATCTTACATTGGTCACATCTCCTTAACCTCTGTGAACATTAAAAGGAAGACATGCCAGTGCAGGAGAAATGCTTGATACAGAGCACAAAAAGCTGATTAATTCTACAATAAGCATTTGGAGGCTACCTGGGCTTACCTGGGGCACAATGTGTCCCAGAACTTACACAAAAATACTTTACAGTGGGATAGTTTCAAAGAGATTTTCTAAAGGAACACTACCTGACACACATTCTCCTTGAGAGCTGCTCCTCCTCCACGCTCTCCCTGTATCTTTTTGGATGAAGGCACTCCATGGTCATTCTCTGACCCCTCCTCATGACCCTCTTTGGGGCTTGCAGCAGTCCCATGAACTGATGTTTCCCCCTTTAAAGAGAAAACTAGAATTAGGATTGTTAGTAGCACCTATCCTGACTTGGAAACTACAAATCAGCCACTGAGCACTTAATGAGTTTGGCAGGTGATCTGCGTGTTACCCACCCTGGAGAGAATATTCCCCATTACAGTTCCACCAAAAGATTTACAGGAAAGGAAAGGAAAGAGCTCTTATTTTACTAGGTTACTAAAAATACACACTTAATACAATTATCTTCCTGTGCATAACCCCTCTCTGAGCAAGGAGTGAGCCCTGAATGGAAACAAATCAGGCAGGCTAAAAAATCAGAAGCACCCCAGTATCTACTTGCACTAGAAACACAAATGAAAATCCTCAATCTTCATAGCACCTGTCACATACTAAATGAACTACATTTTTCCTCTACACTTATCTCAGCTTGTCCTAATCCACGTAAAAGAGAGACACAAAGGTACTCAAAGCCTGTGCTGGTATGAAGACAGCCAACACCAAAAGGAGCAGCACAGCAGGGCATTCACACCCCATCCTGACTGAGGTGTGGAGTCTCTCACTGTCCTGTACGAGTGTACAGCACTGCCCATAACATCCACTGGTGAAAAACCATCCTGGGGAGAGGTTGGGTTTCAAATGATAAAGGTCCAACCACATATTCATGGGCCAAGTGAAGGATCCTGCCATGAGGCTTCCCAGTGTCCATGGGACCTGCCCAGGCACTGTTAAGAGAGAGGAACAGCAGGTATCCTAGAGACACGTGTTCTAGCATAAAATACGGCTGTCCTGCAGCTACACCCGTCAGCAGTGCCACAGATTTTGTCAGAACAGGCAACTAAGGGCCAGGAAACACCATCCTGCCAGCTTCCAGCCCACCTGGGAGCTCTAGGGAACAACACTTCAGTGGCCTCAGCAGCCCCAGCTGCCACTCCAGAGTAGGTACAATTTAAGGACTATTAATACTGCACCAAAGTGATGCCTTTAGCTACGTGCTTTGAGCCAGAATATTTTAAGGACTCTGCCACTTTTAAATAAGCCAGCTTACTGCAGGTAGCTGAGTGATCGTGCACAGCTGCCAGTTCCTCCCTGGGTCACCAAGCTGTAGCCATTGTATACCCAGGCACAAATAGTACACCTGAGAGACCCTGTGAGGAATTCAAACTGCTGGCAGAAGCAGCAGCCATCACTCCCACACCTCCAGGCCTGCTTGGTGCAAGCCTGTCCAGCTAACAATCACGAGAGGGAGCTTTGCACCACTTTCTGTATGGGGAAGTCTGAGCTGTGATGCTACTACAGCTTGTAAGCTGAATTGAATGTCTTTTGAACACATTCTGAATCTGGGCAAAAAAAGGACATAAAGACTTCTAAAGTTTAAAGCTGGAAGAACCTGGAGCTAGTATTCTGCTCAGATAATGATGCTTGCATTGCCTGGAACTTTTGCTTTTTCCCCTATTCCCTGAATGTAGCAGTATGACTTTATTTGGGGACACTTTAAAGCCAGGTGCCTTCTGTGAGCATTGATGCACAGATACACTGAGGGTATATTGAAGTACACATTACAAAGATGAATGGTATGAACTGACTTTATTGAGAGAAAAAAAGAAAAAAAGCAAAGTCCCAACTACAGGCTACTGCCATTCCAACATACCTTACAGAGTACAGCCTTGTTCTAACACTGCTCCCAGAACTGCCCAGAGTTAGGCAGGATGGGCAAAGCCATCCTTTGTGAACATGGAAAAAGGCATTGCCACTCAAGGATCTGCCTGTTTCCCCTCCTTCCTCTGCCCAGCACAAGCACTGCAACACTACATACCTCCTGCAAAAAGAAAAGCTCATCCCAGGTCTTCTTCCAGAACTATCCCTGCTGCTGTTGTCTGGCACAAGCCCAAAGCCTGACCTGTTCTTTGGCACAGCCTGACCTTGGCTCACAACCTTGGCAACCACTTAAACAGCATTTTCCATCCCATTCTGTCAGTCTCTTACTGCCCTGATGTTGTAAATTTGCACTCCTGGCTCCACAGATGGGCAAGATCAGAGAAAGCTGCTTAGCTCAGCCCAGGCTGACAAGCTTTCCTCTGCCCTCTTTTCCTTGGAAGGCAGCTAGATCCAAGGCTTCACTGTGCTGTATCATCAAACAATGTATTTTTTCTAGCAAAGTGGAGTTCCTTGCCCAGCGTGTGCAGTCACTGAGGGACCAGCATGGTCTGAATTCCACATGAAAGCACAACTGCATCTCCACAGCATCCCAATACTTACCTAAGCCAGGGGATGAACACCCACCACACCATCTAAAGAGACAGAATTATATAAAAAGGGAGGCTGGCAAAGGTGCCAAGCATTGACCTTTTTTTTTGGCATGGTTTACACCATATCTGACTTTTGGTACTCAATCAATACAAATGTCTACAGCTAGGGGCAGTTAAGACTGGGTTTCCTCTGCAGTGAGTGGTGAGCACAGGATTCAGAGCCATAGCCTAGATCTTTGCTGCTCTGAGCTGCCCCTCTTTTCACAGAGAATTCGCTGCCTCTTAGTGGATACAGCAGACAATGTTAACTGCCCCAGCCCAGCACTGGCAAAGGTATTTTAACAGGCTGTTTTATAACATTAGTCCAGCTGAGCACACTTCAAAAAGAACAGTAACACCAGCACAGGAAAGCTTACATGGATCAAGGGTATTGCCCCAATTTATTAATTTTATCACAAATGCCCTTTCCAAAATACAACAGGATGGCTGGAACTGTTTAAAGTGGTGCGAGGTTTGTGCTCTCCTGTAAACTGTGTTACAACAACAAATATAACAATATTGATCTATAATTGGCTCCTGAAATACATACTGACTATCCTGCCTGCTGCTGAACCTGGGCCACTGGAAGTGAGAGGCGATGGCGAGAGGCCCAGAGGTGTCCTGCCTCTCTCAGGAATTCTTGCTTCCCCTACACTTGCTGATAACTGGCTCATTCCTAAAAGGCAAAACGTGCTTGTCAGAGGTATTTGTACACTGACCCTGCTAATATGTAGCAGAGGGAATTGCCCCAGTTATCCTTTTCTGCTAATGGCAGGATGCAATCAGAGGCTCTTGTGAGCAGTCACAGACAGTCCCCCCCCAGCCCCTCCAATGGGGTTCTTGACTCATCCTGGCATTCAGGTGCAAGCAGGAGGAGCTGAAGTCCAGTCTAGGGCTTGTGCTTCAAACTGGTTTGTAAAAGGGCAGGAGTCCCACCCCCAGGGAAGACCTTTTACAGCAGTTTGATCTTCTGAGGTGCAAAGCAGGGTGCCAGGCAACACCTGGTTCCAAATTCAGAACAGCCTCTCTTACAGAGAATTAGCTGAGCAGCGGTTTGAAAACAGAACCTGAGTTAAGCATCATTATAAAATAGCTACTAGATCAAGGAGGTATCTTCAGCCTAACCCAAGCTCATGCAGCTGCAGCAGTGGGACAAATTTTCAAATGACAGGACAAAAGATGTCTCTGGCTTAGGTTCTGCCAAGTACCCTGGGAAATAGCAAACAGGTTATAGGGATGAGAGCATGAAGATCCAACAGTACCTCAGAGTGCGGGGTCTCCCCCAGCCCCTCCTCATTTTTCTCCTTCTTGGAATGGACTGCAGCAGAGGTATGGCGCTGTCTCTTCCGCTTTCGCTGTTTCTCCAAGAGCTTTTCAGAAGCTGGGATGCAACAGAAACACCATTCAAGGAAAATACAGATATAATTCCCTTGCTGCAGGTGACACCAGCAAGTTCTACAGCCTGAGAGCTTCAGGCTGGGTCCTATATTCCTTGAGGGCCTAAGGGCTGGGGTAATACCAGCCTCCAGGCACTCAGCCCTCTGCCCTGCATCCACCACAGAACCACCAATTCATACTGGTTTAAGCAACTTTTGCTGGGCTACTGAATCCAGAGCACAAAGCATTTGTACATACACACAGTGCCACAAGCACTGATCCAAATATCACAGCAGTCTGCCCTGCTATCCCTGCCTTCACTTACCTTCTCCCAGGTCCTGGAAGTGGGCCGGTGAGTAGAGCTCAGAGCTGTCACTCTCTGAAGGGCCAGTACCCTACAAACACACAGGAGAGAGAGTCAAGTCACCAGATGAAAACAGAGGCACACACTCCTCAGCTGTGAAACCTTCTGGAATGACTGCAACACCTAATTTACCATTCAGGTCATACATTCGGTCATTAGAGATTTTCCAAGAAAATATTTGGTTTGTGTGTGTGATAAATCACACATGTAAAAGTCTGTCTCTGGGAAGGGAGGAATGTGGAGTCTGATGTGTATTGTGCCTATCAGCACCATTCACTGCTTCCTGTGCTTTCCTAAACAGGCTGCTAATAGTCTGCAAGGTGCTGGGAAAAGACATTCTCTTCTGAGTTTACACTTACACTGGCCTCTACATTACTGCAATGGAGATAACTGTACTAAGATTGTGCCTCTCAGAGAAAGAAAAAGAAAAGAAGTGTTATTAATCAACTTTAGGAACAGTGGCAACAAGTTCTGTGCAGGCACATGATCTGAAATAAATACAAGTTGCATTTTTCCAAACCATGTCACTGAATATAGAGTATTCAGCGGAGAAGAGCAGCATTTTCTTCAAAAATCTGAACTAAACAAGGTATCCTATGTGTCATTCACCTCAAGCCTCCATCCTGCTTCAAGCTCTGCACTTACATGCATTCACCAGCTCATTTGGGAAGGTAACAAAGAAAACACTGCTCAGAAGAAATCAAATGGAAAAGGACAAAGCCTTAGGTTCAAGTTCAAGCTACATTGTAACATGACAGAAAGCCTCTGTACAGAACATTTATGCTCATACCTTTCCAGCCAGCATCCAGATGACTCCTTTTCCATATATACATCAATTTTAAAAATGAGATTTTAAGCCAGAACTATCCCATCCCCATTACAAGTGGGGAGGGGTGGGGGACAGTGGATTATTTCATCATAACACAGCAACCAGCACCTTTGGGAAGGGTGGACCTTTGCTGCTGGGCTGCAGCCAACAAAAAACCACATCCCATTGCATTGGGCCTTGTTTAGCAGGATCTGCTGTCTGGGCCTGTTTTCTATCTGGTTTTCAAAAGAGCTGGAAGGGAAGTACCTTCTTTTGGGGAGTCCATTCCTCCTTCTTTGGCATAAAGGCAGTGTCCAAGTCATTGGATTCCAAGAGCTTTTTAGTGGGCTTCCTTTGACGCTTGCTTTCGAAGTTTCCTGCAATGAAACCCTTTCACATCAGATAAACAGGGGTTTTCTTGTCTTCAATCAGATTAAGACCATTAAGTAAATATCAGCCAACAGTTCAAAATAATCTGCTTCACCCTGTCTTTGGGATCATAAGCTCCTAGGGCAGAGATGCCAATTACCTGCTTCTGTACAACTTCAATAAAAATAGACCTCAGTCTGCCATGACCTTCAGGCTCACCTCAATGTGTAATATAAAAATCCACCCACAGAAGAGAGGCTGTGAACTCACTGCCAGCAGGTAACACATGCTGGCAGCACAATTCACATCATAATTTCCCAAAAACTTTGATCTGCATAAGCCAGTCCTACCACTGACACAGCCCTGCCTACATTCCCACACCCCTCACACCAGCATTTATGTTGCTGTAGTAAACAGGCTGAAGATCACAATCCTGGTTAAAACTACTTGAGAAAAGATACCCTAACAAAACTAGGTGTAATTTGCACTATTTCCTACTCAAGCTTTATCCTGGCCCTCAGCAGGTAGCAAGTTGCTAGACCTGGGCTCCTTCACTACTTTTGGCAGGAGTATAAACTTAGAACCAGGAAATGCTGATGCTGATGCAGACACTTCACAGACACAGCCTGTTACCCATCCCACCCCATTCATCCACTGGCTTTGACAGTCTCAGCTGTGCCCTTTGACACCTCTGTAGGCACAGCTCATCCATCACACTCCTAACCCTCAAGACAAGCTTCTGCCCACTCTGGGTGCTTCAGCAAAAGGTGAGGGGAAATGACTGGAAAGAGCTACACAACCTCTGCAGACTGGATGTTTGCTCCCACTGCTGCACCTGTTCTGTTCTCCTGCATCTCCAATCTTGGGTTCACATCCTCAGTTTTTCCTCCTTTAATCCTCTCCAACTTCCCACTACCTTGTGACACTCACAAGTTTCCAGAGGCAATCCCTCTTCCCTCACACATGACAGGCTAACTGACCTCCCACTGACCATGAATCTGCCTGCTTGTCTTTTTGTTTTGGTTTTTTTTTTTTTTTACTATAAGCCCTTTAGGAACAGTGTTCCCTCTGAGCTAGCACAGCCAGAACACCAGGGCTTTAACTCTGGACATATCTTTAGATGCTATCAGAGAATAAACATACTAAAAGGAACTGAGATTGACACTGCTGGAAAGGGGAAAAGGCCCCTCAGACCACACTCCTCCCATACCATGCCTTACTGAAGACCAAGACCCTGGCTTGCTGCTCACACTAGTCCCCAAAAAATTCTACAGATGCTTAGAACCAATTAAATAGGAAGTTCTTCCAGGGGGAATTGTGTGCTACAGCTCCCTAGGAGAGCAAAAGATCACTCCATGAGCAATGAAGCTTAGACTTTGTGCACCACCCTCAGCACAGCAATGTCCATTCAAAGGGGTTTACAGCAGCAAGAGATCATCAAGCTAAAGGAATGTCACTATTTGGAAGCACAGACAGCAAGGACTCAGAGAAGGAGCTGTGGCCTCCTTCATATGGACAAAAGAGGCATTCTGTGCAAGGATCTAAGAGGACCACCACAGTCCATAGAAAGCCAACAGCACCAGGTCATTGGACACCCTTGCACCTGCCCTCTCTCCCTTCTCAACACAGTAACAGTCAGTGAGTGAAGGAAGGCAAGAACAAATAGCGGCCACAGCCACTGATCTTTTCATACTGCCCCAAAAATAATTTTTCACTGAACTTGAGCTACTTTTACTTAAAAAAGCGGCATCACACAACCTGCCACTTACCTGATATCAGGAATCCCTCTTCTGCATCTGGAGAAGCAGAAACTTCAGAAACATCTGAGGAAGACAGAACCACCACCTCTGGAAAATCTGAAGATCCTCTTTGAGCTTGACTAGGGGGATCAGTGGAGTGGGATCCTAGTTCTGAGAAGGAACACTCTGCTTCAAGGACGGGAGGGGACTCTTTGGTTGAAGATGGAGTTGAAACCAAAGAACTCGGCCCCCGCTGGGTATCTCTGTCAGGACTGCATTGGGCAGGAACTCCTCCTTCAAATTCAGACCTCGCCACAGAATTCACCTGGCATGGTGAAATATGTTGGTGAAAACATTCATTCTGCATGGCACTGCACACAGCAAGAACACTCAGCCACAAAGAACATAAACACACACAGACCAGAGCCCTGAAGAAATAACCACAAAGAGCACACTGGCCTTCACCCACCTTCTGTAATTGCTCCTGGCTCTTCTTTGATTTTTTCTTGGGTGCAAACAAGTGATCATATTCTTCTGCATATTCCAGAAGCCGTTTACTTGGCTTTCTAAGGCGCTTCCTCTCTGAATGTGCTAAGAAAAAGGAAAGCAGCTTCAAGACTGTGTTTCTGAAATGATCACAAGACATCTGTGGATAGTAGCTGTTCTGCCTTCTCTTCCAGAGGTTCCATGTGGGAAGAGCTGATAATTCTCCCTTTGTGACAGCCCAAAGAATTTTTTGAGTTTCCTATTTTCCAAAATCCCAACTTAGCAGGGGGGATTTTTAAGGTCTTCAAGCAGTTCAGGTAAGAAATCAAAACACATCAGACTGAGAGGCTCCTGAAATTTCACCCAACATGTCCCTACAAGCTACATCTAATTTCCTTGCAATACTTCTACCAGAACTAAAGGTCATTAGCAACTCTTTACTCTTCTGCTGTTTACCCAAACCCTTTTGGTTTTAGTGCAGGGGCACAGGAAAACACTGTTTTCCCGTAACACAGTTCAGTCACTAGTTTCACTAGGAACACATAAGCTTCATTCCTTCCCTTCCCCTCCTCTCTGGCATTTTTTTATATACTACAATTCCCCATCTGCTACTGTGAGCCCATTTATTGCTTTGTTTGTTCCACAATGAGATCAGGAGCCAGTGACTGCGGCACTTCTCGTCTCTGCACAGTGTGGTAGCATTGCAAGGTAAAAGGTGTTTCCTCACCATAACCCTAACCACCCATGCTACACCACCTCAACACACCAACACAAGGCAAGCTCCAAAAAACAGAACCCTGACACTATAACATCTCTTCTCAGCAAGCTGCAAAGGCAAGGTGATGAACATTTATGTCTTTTTCTCACTTCCCAGGATATCTCTGAATATCTCTGACTATTCTCTTTTTTAGCATTCAAAATCATTAAATAATATTGCCCAAAGATTCCCCCTAGACAGGAAAACACCTGTGGCCTCCTGGAAGTTTTGGAACAAACAATAAATATTCTCTTTACTTCATTTCATTTGTAGGAGGTGGCTTTTTCTTCTTTAGAACAGAAGCATTTTATAACAAAGCATTTCAATGCAACGCTTCAGAACAGGGATGTTGGACAAGATTGCTACATTTTATTGTGGCTTTGTGGTTAAACAAGCATGAAAATGTCAAACTTGGCCAAAAGAAGAAAGAAACAACTTTCTCAAACACAGCTCTATTTTCAGCCTCTATTAACACTCTGCACAGGTGTCTGAGTGAAACACACATTTCAGCACATAAGCAGTTATGGGACGAGTATCCTCACCAGGCAACTATTTAGAGCCCCAAAATCGTGCAGCAGAGTACACAGCACTGTGCCAGAAGGGCTGGCTTAACTGCTTTTTGTTCCCAAAAGGAATCCTATACAAGAATCCCAAATGCAGATTGACAGTGGCAAATCACAGACCTGATGAAACTATTATTTATAAAATTGGTTTACATCAACCAATTCCTCCAATCTTCATGTCTGCCTTATTTGCTCTAAACCACTGTACAAAGTTTGTGGCAAAATTATGCCCAGTGCTGCCATTTAACTATGATGAAGACCTTATGCAGTTTGAGCTTAGTGGAAATGGCACAGTTGTGACTACAATCTGTTCTGATCTCTTACACTGAAGATGCCTTTTGTGGGCAAGGATTGGTCACATCTCTCAGCATTGCAGTCAGTCTAGTTTCCAGCATCAGTTTCTCTACTTTCTAGGCCTTGCCCAACATACAGGAATGGTCTCAACACAGCATTAGATGTTTACTCAGTCCCACCAGCACTGGGGATGTTACAGCAGCCCTGACAGTGGCACCGATGCCTCCCCACAGCACATCTGTACAAAAAGGGGGTGGATGTGCACAGAGCTCACGTGCTATTTAGGGCAGGGGAATTTCACCTCACACAGCATCACTGCAGGGATGCTTCAACTGCTAAACCACCACGAAGCCCTAAGAACCTGCCAGGATCTCAGTGTGAGGGAAGAACCCACAGCACAGCTCAGAATGTGCATCCTCTCACCTGCTCTATAGAGACTTCAGTCCTCAAAAACACACAGACCCAGCCAGAGTCAGTGAATGATTAAGCTGGTCATGACTTAAAACCAGAACTTTTACCCCAGGTGTTACACCCTATAGGCTTGTTTCCTCTGCCTGTTGCAACTTGCCTTGGGCAGGTCCCACAACCACTAAGCCAGGAGCTGCCTTTGCCACAATTGAAACAGAAGTGCAGGCTGCCTCCAGCAGCCACAAAAAGCAAAATACACACATCAAAATCTGCACTGAGAGAATACTTAAGTGACAGAATGCACACAGGCTCAAAATTATGATGAGTTGTACTATTTTATGATATCACAATTAGATTAGAGCAATTTAGTGTGGTGAAACAAATGCAAAATCCTAATTTTATTGCTTTTATTAAGGTGTGTTTCCCCAGATTCCCTACAGAAGCCAGAGGATGGTACGTGTCAAATATGATTCTGCTGGCCCTATTCCTTCCACACATCCTTTTATTTTTTCCTTTGGCTTTACCCAGATGTCCCTCTGTGGGAGAGGCAGGGCTCTCTTGCCTTTTGGTCCTCAGAACCCTCCTCCTTTCTAGGTCAATTCCCTTCCAATGCTGCTGCCTTATTCTGTCTGCCACATTCCAGACCCACCTCCAGCCCAGCCTCTCTGGCAGCTTCCCTCTCTTCTGTTCTCTCTTTCACCCATCAGGCAGCCACAGCAGAACCGTAAATTAGGAAATCTGTGGGGCTCCACAAGTCACTATGAGCAGCTAATAAAATTCCACACTAAAACCCAAAAAACTCCCAACACATTGTCTTGAGGAAATCCTACAGAACAAACCAAAGACAAACTATGTCAAACAGCACTATGAAAGACAGAAAACAGAGCAGCCATTGAGGCTCAGTTTCCTGGAATCTTCTAGCACTGACCTATCCCACTAACACCAAGCTTGTGGCTCTAAGGAACACATTATGAAGGTGCAAGTTAAAAAAAAAAAAATCCCAGGCTCAGAAGGCTTCTTATTTTACCTTTCACTGTGGAAGAAGTAAAGATTTTTAATGTGTTCAAAAATTTCTGACCAATAACCTGAGTTAACTTATAATTACTCCGCCTCCTTTGTTCTCCATGCTTACAGAGAACTCAGATCAAGGTCCCACACTTTCTTCTGCTCAGAAGTAGACATCTTCACATTGTCAGACAGCCCCAAGTTCCGTAATTTATCCTTTAAATGAAAAAGTGTAAAATGTATACAAATACTCTGGCGCAAGTCCAGCTCCCTTACCTTGTGCAGAGAATTCAGACTGGGGAGCAAAGTTGCCAAGCTCTGTTTCTGAGTCCATCACACTGGTGTTTGGCTTACCACATACATTCAAACGTTTATCAACTAAGTCTAAACGATTCTCAAAGTCCTGAACTGCCAAGTCTCCCTCAAGCACCTTTGAATGAGGGGAATGCCTACTTCCCAAGCACTCATTTCCCTTCAGTGAAAAGCCTCGAGATTTCAGGCCAAAGGCACTCTCCAAGTTTCCTTGTTCCCTAGATCTACTGATGTGCTTATTAGATCTAGCACTGCTTTGGTTAAAACGCTGCCATCGCTTTTTGGGTGCTACGTGATTGATATCATTAGACTCATCACCAAGAGAGCTCTCACTATTTGCCTCTGAATCCAAGTCTGGACTCTCCCCATTTTCAGCAGAATTGCAGCTCTCTTTATTTCTACCAGCTTCAGGTCTCCTTCCAATACGACCTAAATTGTCATCAGATAAACAGGCAGAGTCTTCATCAGTTGACTGCTCTGTTAAATCAATAAACTCTTTCCTCTCAGCATCTTCTGCCTCATTCCCTAGAGGACTGGTAACCGAACTGTGCACACGGAATGCATGTTCTCCTGAATCTCTGGGTAACCGACTTAGCAACTTACTTGGCCCTCCTGGTTTTAAGTCCTTTCTGTTTGAAACTGTTTTATCTCCAAACTTTGATGACTGCTTAGATTTTGAACAGTTGCGTTTGGACATGCAATTTGTGCCGTTTGTCCCAGAAACAGCAGCACTCGCAGGCTCCCTTTTACCAGTACCAATCCCTGTCAACTTGGTTGGAGGACCACGTGAAAATGAGGAGTTGCTTATAGCAGAGTTTGGAGTTACTCTTTCCTGGACACAATCTCCGTTTTTTTCTATTTTATATGGAGGACCTACAATAGACAAAGACTTGAGACCACTTGCAGAATTGCTTTCAGAACCATCACCCGTGCTGGTATTACGAAATGGGACTATATTTTGACCAGTCATCAGTTGCTGCTCTTTTGTCTTACTGTCATGCATATCCTTCAACATCATTAACAAGGTGCTGAATTTGTAATCTGGTTCAATAGGCAAACGACCATGACCAGAAGTAGAAGTGAAAAGCAAAGGTACTGTGGCCTTTGGAGTGCCAGAGTCACTGGCATCGTCATTCATGGACCGATAGGACAGTTCCTTCAACTCTGACAGAACGTGCTTCACCACGGCTGTTTCGATTTCAGCAGAATCCCTGGGTTTCTCATGCATGTTGTTTAACAGTTTCTGACCATCAACTTTTCCACTTCTCTGAAGAGAATCTCTTGAAAGGCCAGAGAAACCTTTGGTATCTGAGGAAGAGCGATTCACACCACCCTCCTCTTCCACAAGAGAAGGCTCCAACCCAGCAACCTTTTCTTTATGTTTACATTTTATACTCCTGATTCGGGGTAATTTCACGCTTTTCTGTTTCAAGATTGCTTGATTTGTAACAGCAGGCCAGGAGCTGTCCTTGGAAACACTTTGTGGGGTAGTGTGCTTGTTTGCTAGGGAAAGACTGTAATTTCTCACATCTGAAGAGCACTCAAGAGGTGTCAATGACATCTCAGCATCAGACAAACCTACTTCAAGCTCCCCATCCACAAATTCAGCATCAAGTCTGTTGGTTACTGAACCTCCCAGAGCTTTGCGATCTCTGTGCGACTTCTTCCTGGCCCTTCTGCTGCTCTTCTGAGAAAGATACATGGAAAGTTTAATGTTTTCACTTGATGTCATAGGAAAGTCCTTCTCCACTTTATCTGAAGAATCACTAACTTCAACAGTACTAGAGGCTCTCTCTGAACTTTGGTCCATGGTATCTATATCACTATTTCCACCATCAGAGAGGGAAGAAGATGAATCTGATTCAGTTTGTTTTTTCTCAACATCAGCATCAGATGCAGAATAGTGTATTTGTAACTTGGAACTGCACAAAATGCCCAGGGAGCTTTTCTCTCTCTCAAAAGATGGGCTGGAAAACAAATCTCCTTGGAGGGTGTTTTTCAGAGCATCACTTTTACGATTCTCATAGTCTGGTTTTTGAGGTGTCTTTTCAAAACGTCGTTCTCCAAAGGAGGAAAGCAAATGGTTTTCCCTGGTGCTACTGGATGCTGTCAGGCTGTTAGCAATCCGGCGAAGCTCATGAGATGCGTGTTTCTCTGGTAGGTCCCCAACAATCACTTTTCTAACTATGCTCTCTGGTGTTTTGTCTTTGATTTCTTCCCTCGATGCTTCCCCTCTTGCACAACTCTTTTTTACTTTAGTCCTTTTTCTGCTTTCAGAGGTTGTTTTCATGTGTGGCTTGATGTGCAATTTTCCTTTTTCACTGGCCACATGTATGGAGTCAAAAGCCAAGGATTTAAAGCAGCCGTTCAGTTGTGTGTCCCTTTCTGCTCCAGGGCCATTGGTGTAGTATTCCAACTGCACGTCCTTCTCGTCCTTCTCGCTGTCTGGCTCACTGGAGTTCTGGCTGCACTTCTGATCCTCTGGCCCCCCGAGAAGAATATCTTCTGCCTGTCCAACACTGACTTCCCATTTAGCCCTAAATCTCTGAGGAACCTTAAAAGTTGGAGACAAAAAAAAACAAAAAGACAAAATTTGAGTAGGTACCCGAAGAGATAAAAGAACACAGTGACATTCCTGCATTTTGCATCTTTAAGAAAATCACATGGATTCCCTGGGACTGTGTCTGGCAGACTCAGGAAGTACTGCTCCTGGGTAAGCACCCTGCATTCCAGCTGAGCTCTGTGCATTACCAAACAGTAAAAAGGTCCCTGGCAAGTAAAGGTCTCCAAAGAATCAGATGTCTTGGCATGCCAACACATCCTGAACACAACAGTCCGTAAAGGACAATGCATATGGTATGGGTCCCTGGCACAGAAATGCAAAGCGACAGCCAGCAAGCCTCACAAGGCAAATGCAGCATTGTTTTCCTCAAAATATCTGAGCAGACCTGTTTGCTCTCCTCATTGTTGATTCTTCCTGCATACCCTGAATTCAGAGCACGATCTGCCCTCTCCATCAACTCACCTCGGGACTAACATGAGATCCACACACATCTAAGATGTGCTCTATCAAGTTTATAATCCTCATTCCTGAGAAGTCTCCCAGTTTAACTCTGTATCTGTAGAAAAACCAGAAAGCTCTCTGCATACTTAACAGGAACCTCTGCTAATACTCAAAATTAACATGAAACTTGTTTCTTATCTGCATGTGTAGTTTTTGGCTGCACAACAGCAAACCAAAAGCTTCACAACTGCTCAAAAAATCAAAACCAATTCCAAGGCAGGAGGAACAACTCACATCGCTGACACTTTTCTTCTAAAGGAAAAACCCAAAACAACAAAGTCTCATCTCGGAAGACTCAAGAAGTTTCACAAAGCAATCCAGCCAAATACTCTCAGCTTTGCATCAATTCTGGCTTCCAGGGGTGCAAACCTGGACATTTATGTGAGTAACAAACATTTGATTCCCTCTACTGCAGGCATGCTGGCACTCCATTGACATACAGAATGAGATTTCAGCCATGCAGCACTTGTAGGACCAGTGAAGTTACTCGGGAGCATGTCACTAGTTGTTGGGAGGGCTGAGAGCAAAAGGAGAAAAGTCCTTAAAGAAGATACTGAACATACCCTTGGAAAAGAAAAACCAAATAAGGCCGCTGCCCCCAGGGCCACATCTGCAAGAGCACATTCAATCTGATGTTTCTGCACTAACATAGGTTATAAAGCTTTAGACTAAGAGAAAAAGAAAAACCAGATACCATTGCCTAGTGTAACTATTTGCTCTCTTACAGCAACACAGTAGCCTCTGTAGTTCTTCACTTCAGCAATTCTAACGAGTTAATTTCTGCAGTCACCTTCCTAAAGACATAGACCAGACCCCTGTGTCACATTACATTAACTGGCTACAACTGCTCAGGGCTGTTATGTTTGGAAACGGAGATGGTGCGATGAGCCACAAAACTCATTCCCACAGGCTCACTGACAAAGCATTTTCCAAGTCAAATTATAAGTCCTAACAGGTTTCTATAAAGAGAATTACTGAAGCAGTGCTAAAAACCCCACTGCTTTATCTCAGCCAGTGATCTAGTGAAGCATGCAACTCCACCTCTGGTTCAGATCAGCCAAAGGAGGCTGCCAGAGAGCACAGAAGTTTTTTAGCAGTGCTGCAATCCACATCAGGACAGGGCTGTACGGCTGAACAGATCCCACACCAACAGAGCCCAGATTCCTCTGCCTTCCAGAGCTGTCCAGGGCAATAGAAGCAACAGGCCACACCCGAGCACAGAAGAGAGCTTGGAAACTCCTGGCAGTTTATAAACTATGCTGCTGTAAGGACACAAAGAATCCCTTCCCTGGCTGACTTGCTGCACTCAGTCTCACAGAAGCTGTCAAAGTACAAACCCAGGCATAAAGGAATATTTTGTACTGTGCATATTCAAAGAAATAAAGACATATTACACAAACCAGCTCTTTCACCTTATTTTTGTATCCTTTTTCCTTTTGCTTTCCTCTTTTCCGGAGAACAGGCAGCTCTTCAAACTGATGTCTCCCTTCAAAGAGGACAACAGCTTTTCCAGCAACCCAAGTTTTCTCTGAAGGTTCTCCTAAGGCATCCACATAGTACTCTCGGTATGGTCTCCCACCGGAAACTATTTCAAGAAATTTAACAGAATTACCCCTTGTATGTTACAGAATAAAGACACAAAAAGAGACAGAGAAAACAGTAACAATGTGAGAGGTAAGTTTCAATTACATGTTGCTTAACAACATTCCCACATAAATGCCAGTTCTGGGGATTTCTACTCACAACTAAGGGAGACCCCTTTGTTTGCTGCTGTCTATATTCTACATTGCTACTCTATTTTTAAATTGTTTGGGCTTTCTTTTCTTACAGACAATTGATTGACATGCCTATGACTGGTCATATTCCTACAGAAAAAATTGTTTTAAAAAAAAAAAAAAAAAGGCAAAAATATCTAAATATTTTTTCCTTGAGAGACACAACACACAAGGCAGAACATTTCTTTTCTGCTACTCTCTGATTAATGATTAAACAGTCCAGAGCACCTGACCGTAGGGAAAACACAACAGTGCTGGCAACACCCAGAACTGATATCCTTCTGGATAGGATTTACTCTCACAGGTTGAGCCTCCTCCATCACAATACATCCCATCTTGTCCTATGTTTTAATACCAAACAAAGTCTTATTTACAACATAAAACATGAACAGCAGTATTTAAGCAACACATGCACACACACTGAAAAGATTAGGTGCAACATGACACATTAGTTGCAATGAGCCCCTCCATACTTCAGGCACAAGAGGTGCAGAGAAGAAATTCAATCATAGGAGTACATTCAAAGATTCTTTAAAGGTACTTTCTATGCAGGTTGAACACACATGGTACAAATAAGAACTGAATCAGTACTGGGTGGAAAAGGACAGGTCACAAGCATTTGAACAGAGCAAACAACACTTGAAAACAAGGGATACAAACTTCTCCCAGTAGTTTGCTGCAATGTATTAACTTTCTCCTGGAAACACCTTCACCTTCTGAACAGGCAGATTACACTTCCAGCCCACTTGGTTTGTGCTGCCTCTACCTGGGTGCCAGCACAGTGTGCCAGCCTGGCCTTAAGTGATGCTGAAATTGAGATTCTAACCAAGACCACTGAAAAGTTGACAGTGACCAGAACAACATTAAACCACGTGCAAAGATCACAGCCTTCATCCACCCCATTTACAGTTCTGGGACTCAAGCCACTGAGCCTGTATCTTCCAGCTCCAAAAATCTTCCAAGCCAAGAGCTTGATGAAAAAAGGTAAACTGCCTTCAACTAAACACCATTCCTCAAATCCCAAGAGAAGAGCTTTCAACACAAGTGACAAGGTTGAAGCCACCTGCCTTGTTTTGAAGGGCTTGTTCCCTTGGCAACAGGAGAGCCAAGGCAGTAGGACTGTGCTCCTACAGTGCACACTGAGCCCAGCTCTTCCTGCCCAAAAGTGCCAGAGTTCAGATCCACCTGCTCTGCCACCTTGGCATTGGGAAGGGAGGACAAGCAGATTACATACAGCCACAGCTGGAAAATACAATTTTCCTCTGAGTTCCATTGGTATGAACACAGATAAAACAAGGATGAGACTCTATCATGTGGCTGGAGATGAGATGGCTGGAACTTGCTGACAGAGCTTTTCCTCCCTGCAGAATTCCTTTATTACCAATTCTCATGCACAAGCTGAGAGGGGAACACTGGACATTAAATCCTGCCCAAAACTTCATGAGGAGGAATGTGGGGGGAACAATATATATCAGCATATCTTCTGGAAACATCTCTGACAGGAGTTTGAGAGCTGAAAACAGACTATTTAAAACACCACATTCAGTATTCTCTAGAATCAGGACAAATGCCTCCCCAAAGGATAAAGGGGGAGGTGAAGAAAGAAGACTTCAGCAACCAGGCTTGGGGATGATGTGAGCACCACATAGGAAAAGCTACTTCAAGGCTAGAGAAACAGCTCTAGAGTGAGCTGATGGCCACTCAAATAGAACTGCACTCATGCCCAGCACTTGTGCTTAGGCTGGCAAGGGCCACAAAACCTGAAGACAAATACAGTAGTGAGTGGCAATCTCACCAGTCTAGAGCTGTCAGTGGCAGAGGATACCAGTTCAAGGGGTTTCCAGTTGCCCACAGAACAAAAAGAATCAGAAGGGGAAACCAGGAACAAATAAACCTTTCTGGTGGTGGCAGTGTCCCCGTAGCATCTGGTATGACACTAAAAGCAAACAATTCCTCATTTCCCTTCTGTTCTCTCCATCACTCACCAATCTCTGTCTTGATCTTTTAAGACTCTTTTTCCCTTCCTGGCTCTCTCCTGTGGTCAAGCACACACAGCTCTGTTATATTTGCCCATCTCTCCTCCTCATACTCAGCTCACTCACACTTTACCCTAAACATTCACATATGTGGCTCCATCTCTTGGTTTTTCCAGAATTTCCCTATCAACACCCTATTACTTTTTTGTGCCAAACAAGACCCAAAAATTTCACTTCCATGCACATACTCCCATCACACCCTCAGGCACTTAGAAGCTACACTGCACTACCCCACACTCAACTCCTCAGCCTCTCCAGCCTCCTGCTCTCCAAGAACAACTCTCTGTCCTCACACACTCCAATCTTCCCAGCTCAGCTTCCTCACCAATTACACTTCTCTGATCAATCTCCTTTTTCTCTACATAACTTTTGAGAAGCTGCTCTTTCTTCTGCACTGCCCTGAGCTTAGCCCAGCTATTTTGTCTTTCCTACAGTCTGGGAAGAAAAGCCTAAATGTCCAACAGCTATCTGTGCCACTTCATCACCCACACCCCTTTCTTCCTGCCACCTCCCTCATTTAGCTCTACTTTATGGATCCAGGTCTTGTTTTCCACAGCAGTCTATTTCTTCACACATTTCAAAGGCCAGAAATGCTTTTAAAATTAATTAAAAACTGCAGGATCCTGCCATACATAACACCTCCACTTTGTGGTCTGAGTAGATACAGTACCTTTCATTTTTGAGTGACAGTCCAGCACTGGGTCATGACAAACTGTGCATGGCCACCATGGGCGTCTGTTGAACTTGGCCCAAACAAGATCCCCAACTTCATACTTCACTGGAGGTTTCTTCTTGGCTGGGATCTTTGGGGAAAAACCAGAACACAAGAAATCACTAAAGCTCCAGATGCTTTTGAAGAGATTTGCCTCCCCCCCAGTGTGCAGATTACCGGGATAGCAGAGACATTTACATTAAAAAGAAAGTCCTGATTTTACTTAGTGGCTCCTACACCTTCAAAGAACACAATGGTTCTCCTCATTCTTCTGAAAAAACAAAACAATAAGAGGATTTGAGAAGGTTTTTGTTATTTTTTTAGTAACATGACCTCTGGTAAATTACTGCACTCAAACGTCATACATTTGAACAGGTAAATATTTGGAGTCACTACTAGACCCCATTATTTCACCAACACCAGTTTGTTCATTTCAAAGGTTGCAACATATGGGAAAAGCAGCAGTAAGAGGCAGTGAAATTTTCCTGACTGAAACATTATAAGAATAGCAAGTGTTTATCATCAGGGAAAAAAAAAAAAAAAAAAAAAAAAAAAAAAAAAAAAAAAAAAAAAAAAAAAAAAAAAAAAAGAAAAAAAAAAAAAAGAAGTTGGTATCTACAAGTAGTAACTCTCCTGCTTCTCCTATGTGCTCAGGAAAAAGCTTCACCAGAAAATATTTGAAACCAAAGACAGGTACAATCACAGAAAACCTTATACACTGATGTTTAGCTTGGATGAGCTTGTATGAACACCAGTTGCTTTGCTCCATAACTACGGAGCAGAAAGGGAGTGTAACAACAGTCACCCCCTCTAGGACACAACACTGACCTTGCCTGTCTCCAAAGCTGCTCACAAGTATCAACTCTGCAGATCCAGCCACCCAAATCCACTCAGCTTCTCAGGGCTGTGCAGCAGCCACAAGAACACCAAAATCTTTCAATACACAAATGCTAAAGCTGTTTAATGCCATTTCTGTGCCACTGCCCAAGAGCTGAGAGCAGATCCCGTGCTGTTTGTGAGCCTCTCTGGCTGCATGTGCTTTAGCAGCAGGACCTCTGCCAAGGAGAGGATCCAGGAGCTTTGGTGTTGTGAATAATTGAGCCAAGACGAGATACAATAGATTCTCACAGGATACAAGAGTCCCTGCACCCAGCTGTGACATATCCTGCCTGTTTAGCAACACCCACCAACATGTCCCAGGTGGGTTCAGCATTTTAAGAGCTCCAAAAAACACTCTAGGTATTTTTCCTGCCAGTAAGTACAAGCAATATGCTCCTCATTAGAGTTGTTACAGCACAAACACACACCTTTCTGCTTCACTTCTCCATCCTGCTAACCACCCTGCTCCAGGCACGTCTCTTGCCATACCCAGTTCAACATCCCAGCAACTAAAACACAACAGACCTCTCTAATAAAAGGTATATTCCGTTTCTCATTGAGTTTTATGAGTCTTCTTCATGTGGTTAAAGAAAACACAAAAAAATAAACCCTGTCACATGAAAAAAGGCACGTAATGATGTTACAGACTACATATTGAAACTCTTCTCACTCACTCATCAAAAGCCACACAATAACTTATTGCTGAGCAGGAGTTCATGAACAGCACCGGGCAGGGGGCTGCAGCCCCTCTCTCTGCCACTGCCTTGCTGCAGCCTCTGTGTCTCCAGCTGTATCTGTGAGCACAGGAACCAGAGGTGCTGCCTTGGCCGTTGCTTTTAAAATGCAGATGCACTTTCAGATGCAAACCCTGTCTTAATTTAGTCTGTTTCCCTGCTTGAGTTTTTGTTAAAGTGATTTGGGCCTCAAATTTTTTTGACACAGATTTCCAGCCAGGGCTTTGAGTGGCACAAGTACATCCCAGCTGATCATCTCCGATGCTGTGCATACACACACAATAGATGTGAATCTTGCTGACAACTGTAACCTGAGCAGGTCACTGGACAGGGCAGTAAAACCTCGCTGGAGGTTTGCCAGAGCCATTCACATTGATCCACCTGAACAACATCCACAACCCCTGCCCTTAGGCAAGTCTGCATTTAAATCAACTCTTTGTCAACCTCCAACACCCCAGCCCAGTGAAAAGGTGGCTTTCAAGAAACTATTCAGACAATGCCTAAACCTCTTTCCAAGAAGTCAGCAGCTATTCTCATTCCTGCCCAGTTTCCTCTCCCATTTCCCCAGCATTAGCAGTCAGGTGCTGGACTCACCATCACCCACCACACAGTCCCCACCAGTGGGTCACACAGGCAGATCAGGAAGCATTATGTCCTGAGGGAACCCTTGTGACAGGATGCACTGCAGCAGCTCACTGTCTTGCATAATTTTTCTCTCTAGTCTCCCTACAATCCCACCAACCTGCCAGAGATGCCTTAACATTTTATTCTTTACACGATTAAAAAAAAAAAAATCTGCTGGGGACTTTCAAAACGAGTAACACTGAACAGCCAACAGCAAAGGAGCAAAAGCAGCAGTTATTGTCCTTTCCTGGTACAGTTAAGTCTCTTTCTTTAAATGCTGCAGCACGATAGAAAAATTATAGCCCCAAAGCATGTATTTCTTATGTCAGAATACAACAAATTTCACTCCTATTAAAATTAGCATTTACTATGCCAAGATTAAACTGCTGATAAATCCTGATGGCCAAAAATTTAGCCCTGCAGTAACAGTGACTTTCCTGTGAGCTGGGGAAAGCCAAAGTTTTTAAAAAAATAAACTTCAGATGTAGTCCCGCTCATCTGATCACAACACTGTTCACCTTCAGAACATGGAAATATCTAAGTATTTAAATAACAAGAAAATTTGTGAGCCAGATTGGGCAAGATCCATGTTGTAACCCAGTGGACATACACTGAAGAAATTAAACCAGGTAAGAGCCTTGGTTAGTGAGGAAGGAAAGGACAGGATCTTCTCCATTGATAAGGAACAACAGTTTTGATTTGTCTGATGTTCTCCTCAAGGGAGTCAGTACTGTCTACTCTGTTATCAAAATGTTTGACATTAATTTGCTGTTCAGATAAGACAAGCTACAGCCTAAACCCAAGATGATATTTAGCATTTCAGATCACTCTGTGCTATTTTTGGACAAAACAAGACTGTACCTTGCAGATGTTTTTCATCAAACCTTCTCCACCAAAGACCCCAAATTATCACTGTGGAAGGGGTCACAAGCCAAGATTCAGCAGCAGGATGACACAAAAGCCACCTGCAAAGTCCCCTCTTGAATTTGTGCTACATCAACCAAACACACCAGTCTGCAACTCACTAAGTGAAATACCAAACATTGGCACTCGTTTCATGAGAAGGATGCTTTCCATTTGAAAGGCAAGTACTTTTACCTTCCTGAAATTCTCACCATACTGCAAATAATGAAACATATCAAGCAAAGAAAGCTTAAATTTCCAAGTGTTTTTATTTTGGCAAACATACTGTCAGTCCTTAACCGTCCTCACTATTCTTCCTCTCTCAAAAATAACCACATCATTACAAAGTGGAAAAAATAACTTTTATCCAGTTAACCACTCTTGGCTCTGTCACTGGAAGCTGTTGTTCAATCCATTCATCTTGCTGGATGAAGTGGCACAAAGCAAAAGCCCACAAACACAGACAATGCTGACAGCTACAAGGTGCACCTTTCCTGCAGCACTGGACATCTCTGAATAAAAATCAGAGCAGCACCAGCCTCTCCAGTGCAGCTGGAGTCGCAGCTGCAGACACCCCACGTGCCCCAACAGCGTGACCAGGGATGTGACCACCTTGGCAGAGCCACAGCAAGACTGAACTGCACACAAAGGGGCAGAGATATGTCTGCTGTTACAGGCAATTTCAAATTTGATATTTCACATAGCCAAAAATACATCTGTCCAGAGATCAAGCACTGATCTGCAGCCATTGTAGCCCTGCACTTTCAATTCAGACCTGCTTTGGAAAGCCATCATGGAAATACTTGGCCAAGAAAGCCCTATCACAGTTTATCCCTGACTTAATTATAAACAGTGTTACTCAATGAAGCCAGGGATAGAACATGTTTTGCAGAAAGGCTGGGGCAGCAAAAGACACTGTGTGTAAGGACGATGATGAAACGCAAGAAAGAAGCCACTGATCCCCCAAAAATAATGAAGATTCTGCCAAGCCTGTTTCAGGCACAAACTGAACAGAATCAAAGCCAAAGATGAAAATAAAAGGAAGTGGCCACATCCAAAGGGTAATTAACCAATACAGTGTAAACAATGACACTAATAACCTTTTCCTCTGAGTGTACAGCAGGGCCCGGCAGCAGCAGCATGGGATAGGGATATCTCCTGAGCAGATCTCACCACGCTGGTAGCTGCAGGTGAGCCACACCCCACACATGAGCCAGCCCAAACATCACTGCCAGGGGCAGGAACAGCAACAACCCTGCCCCACAAACTTCCAGTGCTCTATTCAAGCCTCATTCCCAGACCAGCAACTCTCGTGCTTCTCCCTGCATTCCATCTGTGCCCAGGATAAAGTTGTTCCCAATACCTGCTTCTCATTAGTTAAAACTGGAAGCTTGCTGAGGATCAGTCCACAGCCTGCCCCCACCACCACCTTTTATTCCTTTAAGTTTAGTGATCATTAATTTTTCCCTAACAGGATGAGATGCTAAGAAGTCCATCTAATTCCTACGAGCCACTAATGCCACATATGGCTGAACTGGCTGAAGAGCAACAGCTTTTTTACCAGAAATAAACCCTACCAAAAGGAACTTGAGGGAAAGATGATGTTTGAAAGCACCTGGATAGCCTGGACCTAACAGTCTGCTGGAGATGGACTTCCTACAAGGACACAGAGTGACAGGACAAGGGGGAATGGCCATCATCTGTGAGTAGGTTTAGATTAAATGTGAGGTAGAAATTCTTCCCTGTGAAGTAGTGAGGCCATGGTACACATTGCCCAGAGATGCTGTGGCTGCCCCTGGATCCGTGGAAGTGCTCAGGGTCAGACTGGATGGAGCTCTGAGCAATCTCATCTAACAGAAAATGTCCCAGGGCATTGGAACTACACTGTATTTAAGGCCCCTTCAAACCTAAACCATTCTGTGATTCTATAAAGAAGTTATCCACTAACACA